AGATGGTTCAATGGTTAAGAGTGCTGGCTGTTCTTGCAAAGGGTGTGGGTCAGTTCTCTGCACACACGTGGTGGCTGGCAACCATTTGTAACTCCAGTTCCAGGGAGCCAACAGCACCTTCTGACTTGCGTGGGCACCAGGCACACACAGTACACATGAGTGCAGGCAGGACATTCACACATGTAAAAAGCGATCTGTAAGAAAGACACTTAGTTTACTAAGCACAATCTTAATCTTTCTAGGACTGACGGAACTGAACGAAAGCTGTTCACAGTTAGCCATGGAACTTCTGAAAAGCACCATGCTGAATCAGAGCGTGGTCCTTTCTGTGAAGGGAATTTCCAAGAATGTCCACACAGTGTCAGTTGAAAAGTGTTCTGAGAATGGTGTGGTCAACATCGCTGAGAAGCTGCTGATGTGCGGTCTGGCGGAGACCCTTCCGTCTAAAAGGAAAGGTGCTACAGCTGCAGGTACCGACCCAAATGCAGTAAATACATGCAGCCGTGGGCTGTCCTGCTCGCCTCAGCCACTGCTCCTGCTCTGCACTCCTGCAGCAGTTGAGCCTGACCCGCAGTCAGTGACAGCTTTGCTGCAGGAGTTGGGACCCAGAGTTTTGGAATGGTTACATACTGTGCCTGCACCTTTCTTCCAGTCCCCTTGATCCTCATCTCCAGGGGAATTCCTTGTGTTTCTGAGATTGAATCTTCCTGGTATCCCATGAGATGTACATTTGGCAGACCTCCCTCACCCAAAAGGGGTCCCATACGTCATAGAAGACCTAATCTTCAGATGGGAGTGCTGGTGTGTGAGAGCCGTAGAACACAGCAGAGGAGTGGGTGGGACCTGTTGTGTACCGTTGACCTCAGACATGGACACAGGCAGGGCAGCCTTGATCAGGTCTGGGGATGCTGGTTTCCTCACTGACATGACCTAATGGCTGGTTTTGTTTGCTTGCTTTTAGAAACAACACGCAACTCAGACTGCTGCTGCACAGAGTTACAGAAACAGGTAGGTACAGTTCCCTCCCGGGGAACCATACCCTAACATGTGAGAAAGTAAATTAACTGTTTCTTTTTCATTTGTAGATTCAAAAACATGAACAGATTCTTCTCTTCCTCTTAAATAATCCAACCAACCAAAATAAATTTATAGAGATGAAAAAGCTGTTGAAAAGCTAAGTAAGTTTCATGTTTCTGCCCCTTCTATGGTTGCCCACAGAATGCCTGCAACTGTGCTGCCCAGATAGAGCTGGGCACTTCATGAGGCTGTGCTGTGCGTATTTGGGGATGCCCTGCCCTAGCCTGCTTTGGTGTTCCTGCTCTGATGACTTTCCTCAACACTCCTCGCAGAGTCCTATCTGAGTCATGGCTGCCCACATGTGGAAGCCTTTTCTTCCTAGGTGACTTGGAAAGTGCTCACATTATTAGTAAAGACAGCTGTGGGTCGAAGCTTAGACTCAGACTGTGTCCAGACTAGAAATCACCTCAGGCCTCCCTGGGACTCTGCTGCAGTAAGTTAGCTCTGAGCTTGGGATGAGGATGGAGAAGAATGGGAAGCGGTGCACTCTCAGCATGGGTCCAAGGGCGCAGGCTGTGCTGACTGCACTGCTTGGGGAATGGGTTCCGGCCCTTGCAGTACCCCTCCCCTCATGCACACCTTTTCCTCTGTGTCTGGATCCTCTGTTGTACCAGGGCCACCAGGAACAGAGTACCAGGAAGTACTCTACAGCCAGAAGCCAATTAGAATTTGTGGTAAAAAAAAGAAGCTGCCCTTCTTACTTACCCTGGCCAAAGAGCAGCGTTTGCTGAGCTTTTCGAAGCCATTGCAGTGGCTCTCTGGGGTTCACTGAGGGTGTGATTCTTCTGGAGTAGCAGTGCTGGTGTGTCTTGGATACGGTCCCACTTTGTTGTATTTATTTTTAAGCCTGGGCTGTGCCTTATTTATATCACACGTAAGTCAGTCCTCGCTCACAAGTACCCTTACAGAAAGCAGGAGTGCAGAAAACAGGCCAGGCGGTGCATGCTGTCTAGTTGAGCACTGGGGAGGGTGACAGGCAATGACTGTGGCTCTGTGGCTGCGAGCCTCACCTACTTGGTCAGTGCCTGAAGACGGACACAGGAGGCTATGCACTGAACCCTGTAGCTCTGTGCACAAATGCATGGACCCTACCCCTACAAGTACCCCGGCTTCCTTTCCACACACACAGTAGAAGAAGAAGCATAGGCTCATGACATGTACACACACACACACACACACTGCAAACTGCGTCTTAAAGGTGAGGAGCTGTCTCTAGCTACTGTATGTGTGCGGGGCTGCAGCATCCTTCTAGGTTGGTCCAGATCCACAGCATGGAGTTAGGAAGGAACAAAGGTGCTCACACATTTTCTTTTCATTTTAATGGAAAATACAATTGACTGTTTATTCTCACCCTAACTGATCTTCCTCCATGTAGCGATATGTTTAAATTTAGAGATTTTAGTAACTTCTGGGTTTTCTTTTTTAATAATTATGAGTTGGCCTATAATACCAGCCTTGGGATTTGAGGCAAGGTGGTTGTGAATGTTAGGGCAACTCGGTCTAATAAGACTCTGTCCACAAAGTAGTATTATACAATCGCATGAAAAGGTGTTACTCAGTTATAAATTTCCTAAGTGGGAGTGCTGATGTGTTTTGAAGGGATAAGTAACAAAATTTGTTTTTATATTCAGAAAGCTCCAGTAGCTGCATTTTATGTTTGTGAAGGAGAGTGTAATTATCTCTGATTAATGCCAATATCAATAAAAACGAAACACTATTGTGTTTAATGTTTTATCTGACAGGTATAATCTAGATTTATGTAATTTCAGTTAAGATATTTGGTTATTTCATCCTTAAAACTTAAGAACCACAGTGCTTTTTATGTAAACCATAATGATGGTTGATTTTTCTTTCAGAAACAGCATCTCTGGGAAATCAACACTGAGGAGGAAGAAACAAAAGCTAGACTTGAGAAAGAATGTCTTCAGTTTTGTTTACTGGAAGTGTTTCTTCCTCTTTTTCTTTAGTGACCTTTGCTCTCTCCACCTCTACCTGCTTCATTTTGTTCTTTTGGGTTGGTGCCCCCCCCCAAAGTTCTTTCCACAAAATACATGAATCTTACATGGGAGATTCATATAATAGCCAGGCGTGATGGTGCATACCTGTAATCCCAGCCATGAGGGCAGTGAGGCAAGAAGACCTTAAGTTCAAGACCAGCATTGATGAGGAGCCCAGTTTGATGCTTTCTCAAGCTGAAGACTAGGAATGAGGCACCTCTACTAGGTCCATGTGTTCTCTCCACTGAGTGTGAGTGTGCACACAGGCACTGGAGCCTCGCGTGTACTAGGCCAGCACTCTACCTGTGAGCTACCCTCCCAGCTCCAGCATCTCTTGCTATGAAAGTGTTGAAGAATATCAGTAAGCTGTAGCACTGGCTGGGTCTAGTTGATGGATGGGCCTCGGCACTGTCTGCACATCCAGACGTCCACTAGTGAGACCTCTGTCACCTCTGCCTCTTCCCCTAATAAATGCTGTTTTGTTCCTGCTTCTGAGTTGTGTGCTCCATTCTGTGGCGTGTTCCATTGGACCATGGAGTGTGGCCAAGAGCGCCAGCCCCTGCTCTAGGAGGAGACTTGCTGCTCCCCTGCACATGCCCATCTGCGGGTTCTGGCTAGTTTGTAGCCATTTGGACTTGTGCTCCAGAAATAATTTAATATTTTTTCTTTTTCTTTTTTTTCCCCCGAGACACAAATTCAGTTTTCAATTTCAATTTAAAGACTGAGAGCATGGCCAGGCTTTGGTGGCACAAGCAGGAGTTCAAGGCCAGCCTGGTCAACAAAGGAAGTTACAGGACAGCTACGGCTACATAGAGAAACCGTGTCTTCAAAAACAAAGAACTTTTTTTTTGTGGTGGTCACGGTGTCTTTTTTTTATAAATTTATTAAAGATTTCTGTCTCTTCCCCACCACTTCCTCCCAATTCCCTCCCCCTCCCCCAATCAAGTCCCCCTCCCTCAATCAAGTCCCCCTCCCTCGTCAGTCCAAACAGCAATCAGGGTTCCCTGCCCTGTGGGAAGTCCAAGGAACCCCCACCTCCATCCATGTCTAGTAAGGTGAGCATCCAAACTGCCTAGGTTCCCACAAAGCCAGTACGTGCAGTAGGATCAGAAACCCATTGCCATTGTTCTTGAGTTCTCAGTAGTCCTCGTTGTCCGCTATGTTCAGCGGTGACCTTTGCACTGAACAGTAGCAAATGGGTACATTTAGAACGGTAGGTTTGTAGTGGCCCAAACCACAGCCGTTCAAACAGGTGTGGCCAATCACATCAGCTGAAGGAGTCTGGTAAGAGGAAATGACAGTTTTTTCAGTGGCCTACAGCCGAATATCAGTGGCTTTTCAACTTGCTTTCTCTTGTTTTCTACTTTTTAGTTTTTCCAATGAGCACACTGTAATTTTGATGTATGAAAATGAGTGTGCTTAGAGTTCCTGCCAGAAGGAATTAAATACCAGGCACCTAAGTTAAAAGAGTGCTGGACAGTCTGGTAATACTCAACTGCACTAACAGGTTGGCAAAAGACAGAAGCCACGACAATCAGAACCGATGCCAACCAAAGCCAAACCCATAGGGTAGCCAGCGCGCACTGTGAGCAGCGGCCCATTCGGAAATGTTCACAGTGCTGCGGTCGCAAGTTGCCCATAGGGTTAGGGGCGAGGCGGGTCGCGGTTACTGTGAGCAGCAGAACAGCGGTTACACCACTTGCCCCGGATCCGCACGGGTTGCTCTGGAGCAGCCAACCCCACCTCAGCAGGGAGAAACCAACAGGTGTCCCACGTGGCTTCGAGTCGCTGCGCCCCCTGGCCGGAGCCAAGCTTGCGCCGCCGACAGAGCAGCTGTGCGCTCCACGGGTTCCGAGAGCCCCACGCCTCCGAACGGGAGGGGCGGGGCGGATGGGTGCACCCCTGCGAGCCAGCCGAGCCCCAGCCCTGCGCCTGCCGCCCCTACCTGCTGCGCGGAGCCCAGCGCAACCGGCTTTGTTCGCTTTGTCTGCCGAGAAGGTCACCATCCCGGGAGCGCGCCCGCCCCCCTCGCCGCATCAGGTAAGGGGTGCTGGCTTGGGGGCTGTGGGTGGAAAAACCGGAGCTGCCTAGCGCCATCGCGGGTGCTCTTTCCCTGGCGGCCGTGGAGTGGGCTGTAGTTTTGAATAAAAACTCTGGGAACGTGTGTCTCACTCCCCATTATAAGCACATAGGTGCTACATTTCCTCGCGGTTTTCTAAACCAGGCAGCCTCGTTCTCCCAAAGAAGCCGCTCCCCTGAGAGCTAGGGAAGGTCAAAGGTTATGCTTTTCGCAGAATGAGGGAGACTTGTCCACCTTCCAGTTCCCGGCATCAAACATCACCTGGCTCAGCTCTGTCTTCTGCCCTTTTCCAGTCTGCCCTGGACCAGGCCCTTGGTGGCCTACTGAGACAAAGTGGGAGGGTTTCAGCACATTGAAAACCTGCGATTTAAAAATCTGGGCACCAGACGGAAGAAAAGGAACGATGGCATCTCACTCCTTTTGCTTATAGCACTGCCTACTTCTGCCTAAACTTGCTGGGGACTTCGCACTAAGGAGAGTGAATAATTATAAGTGGTATGATTTCTCGCTATAAGCTCCCTTGATTAAATAAATCTGAGACCGCTCTGTATGCTTATAGATTCTGTCCTAAAACCTCAAGGTCTGTTTTGCTCAGAAATGTCCTTATTGAGAAAAAAAAAAAAAAACAGGACAGATCAAAGGGGAGTCAGAATGGTACCTCTGCAGTTGGGCAGCCCGACTCTACCATCTTGTCCCTTGTCACACAACTCCCCAGGCCCTGATCTTTGTAGACATCAGCTCAAATCTGCCTTCTGGGGATGTAGAATTCCCCAGACTTAACTCTCAGATACCCCCAAGGGACACGGAGGGATTCCTCTCTCATCCCTGTGTGCCCGAAAATCGGTCAAGGAAGTATTTCTCATCAAATCTGGTTTGGGTCTCACAGCCAGGCTGAAAGTCAAACCACTCCTTCCCTGACCTGCCTCCAGCAGGCTGTCGAACAAGCCAACCAGAGGTCTGTGTTTCTATGGTTGAACGGATGGAAAAGCTTAAAGGCTAGTTTCACAGTTTATAAGCTCACAGCAAGACTGCACAGAGGCAGAAAGACTTTGCATATACTTCCTGTCCCACCCACCACCCACCAGCCGCCAGCCCCCAGCTTGCCCTGCTACCATCTCTACCAGAGTGGGAGCCCCCAAATGCCCTAGCTCAGGACCTCACTTGCTGTGGCCCATTCTATATATTTGGACAAATGTTTTCTACGGCCCTAAAAAACCCTCCCTCCTGGCAATGATTGATCTTTCTAGCTTCATGGTTTATCCTTTCTCAGATGTTACATGGTTGAATCATATGGTAAACAGCCTTTCGGGTGGGCTTCTTCTGTCAATAATACACACTGAAATTTCCACCCCTGGCTTTTTAAGGCCATTGTTAGTGGGCAGTGGTGACCCTGGGGTCGGGCGCTTGGTTAAAAAAAAAATGTCTTTGTTGATCATACCCTTATTGTGTGTGTCCCCTACAGTTACAAAGCATTTTCATTGTCTAACGCCTGAAAGTCCTGGGCACAGGGCAAATACTTAATAATTTCCTTTGAACAAATGGCATTCCCTATTGCGAGGGACAACAGCATGCTCAGAACAGTGGGCTACAAACTTGTGCAGTAGGATTCACGGTAAATTAAAAAAAAAAAAAAAACCCTCTAATCAGGAAGTGCTGTATGAACTTTTCCTGGGGAGAGATGAACAAAAGCCAGCTCATCCCAGATAGTGAAATGGTAACACACCGAAGTCTGATTTCCCCTAAAGTCCAACTTGGCAGACCAGTGAGTTTATCAGACTTGCTTACAGAATGAAGTCTTGCCCCAGCAGCTTCCCTGTGTGGAGAGTCACCCTTCAGTAAATTTTCACACTGTTGCGCCTCCGCTGACCACACACAGCTGGAATGGGATTACCTACAGCCCTCAGGGAGAGCCCAGGTGAAGGTGTCATCACCCCGCCCGCCCGGGACCCTCCTGTAATGAGCACCAACAGGCTCCATCTTGAGGGCGTGTTGTAGGAAGTCACAGCTCCTCTGATGAAGAAATGTGTGAACATCGTTCTGCAACAAGACTGTGATAGAACTGCCAATCAAAAGCGTTTTTCCCCGGTATTGTGTAATCTGCACAAGGCCAGGCTTTTTGCCGTCTGGGCCCCTGGTGCCCTATTCCTTAGAACAGCTGAGTTCAGCATGTCTGCCTTTTGCTGTCTGGGTACCCGAGACCCTGCTCCTAGAACAACTGGATACATTGGAAGTTCTGTCTCAGTTCGCCCTTTCATCTTCTGTCCTGCCTGGAAACAGCCTTTTCACCTCCAATGGTGCATCCCCCGACTAAGTCACAGTTGCCACCGCCAGACCGTTCTTCGCTGTTCTTCTGGGTTAGTAATTGCTGCTCCTTAGCAGGGCTCCTCTGATCTGTAATTAGGAAGGGTAGCCTTCGCCCAAGGGGGCCTTTGAACTGGGGTCCTGTGGCATCCTGCCAACCTTCCCAAAGGAGTGGATAGTATCACCTCCTTTGTAGAGAGAAGAAAGCTGAGAAGCTGAAGTGGAAGAATTTACCAGACGGTTCATGCTCAGGTCTCTCTTGTTGGCTTACTAAGGATCCTTATGCCCCACCTAGATATTTCACCTGTAATGACATGGCCGCGAGGACCCGGGGGACTGGACTGTAGGTGTGCAGTTTGCTAGCTCTCTGACCATAGGGCCTACCTTCTCTGTGAAAATGGATGTGCTCACATGAACCCTACAGGGCTGAATGTTGTTGAATGAAATTGGTGAGTTGCATGTCAGGGTCTCAATGCTGTCAGGTAGTTCATTTTCTAACGAACTTCCTCTTAAAAAGTTTTTCTCATGTTGTCTCACTGTTACAAGAGCAAGGTCCTATCCATGCTACAGAGGAAAGCCTGAGACGGAGCTGGTGCTTTCTGAGCCCCACCAGCAGGAAGCAGAGCTGGGCTGGAACCCAGTCTCAGGACTGTGCGTTATCTCCTCCTCCACGGTCCCCTGGGTTTACACCTCTCCAGAACACGAGTCCTGAACGATGAAGAGCAGTCTCAGGCTGTTTTACCTACAGACGTCTTAGCTGATGTGGAGGGAATGGGAGCCTCTGCAGTATGTCCTGTCTTTCAGTGACGTCACAGCGACACACCTGTTCATGCCATCGTGCCAGTTTCTGCCTGTGAGACTCCTTGTTGTATGACGTTCTATTCTTTTGGCTTTTTAGACTCTTTTGAGGGGCCCTTCACCCAGCTCCCAAATTGCACACAGAGATTTGTTCTTAGTTATGAATGCCCAGCCTTAGCTTGTCTTGTTTCTGCCAGCTTTTCTTACATTATCCCACTTCCTTTTCCCTCTTAACTTTCTTCTGTATATTTTTCTTTACCTCTTTCTCCGTGACTCGGTGACTGGCCCCTGATGTCCTCCTCCTCTCTCCTCCCTCAGTTCTCCTGTTTGTCCTCTCTGCCAGCCCCACCTATCCTTGCTCCTGCCTCACTCTTGGCCGTTTACCTCTTTATTAGACCATCAGGTGTTTCAGGCACAGTAACACAGCTTCACGGAGTCAAAGAAATACAGTGTAAACAAAAGTCACACACCTGAGAATAATCCCGCACCAACTCCCGGCTTCTGATGGTCTGCTGGCTCTCTTTAAGGAGGGCACGACCTCTCCTAGAAGCCTTGGAATGGTTTCCTTAGCTGGGCATGGTGATGCATGTCTGAGGTCCCAGCTCTTTGGGAGACTGAGGCAAGAGGATTGTTTGAGTTTAGCAGTTCCTGCCCAGCTTAAGCAACATAGCGATACCCTGTCTAAAAGAGACAGAGAGGGGAGGGCAAGAAAGGCGCTGTAGCGTATCATACTAGGAAAAAAGTTGTCCTCTTGTCATAGGTCTCTGGGTCTGAGCAAGATATTTGATGTGAAAGACAAGGAAGGTGATTGTCGCAGCAGAAGACAGCAAGGGCTTCCTGGCTGCGCAGGCGCCTTCCTCCGATTTCAGTCTTCCCTTCGGACATTGGCTGTCACAAAGAACTCAGATTTCCATCCTGCAGACTGGGGAAGGCTTACAAGGGACACTCTGATATTTGTGGAAGAAGTTTTATTTTCTAATGAGGTGGAAGTGGTCTCCCCTTTTCCTGCACTCTTCACATCTGATGATGGGCAAAGATGGGCACCATTCTACAAAGCTGCCCACGGTGCCAGCCTTGCTTTGGCTTGTGCTTCTGGCTGTGTCTGAGAAATGCAGTTCTTAGACCTCGCTCGCCTGGCACAGGTGCTTGCTGCAAAGGTGTAGTGATCAGAGGGGATGATCTGGGGTCAGCCTCTGATTCTGTCTGTGAGCTGCCTGGAAGCCCGGAATAACATGTGCAGTGAGCAGAGGCAATGGAAAAGAAGGCAGGAGGCAGTGAGCAGGGCGTTCTGTAATGGAAGGGGCTTGCAGATGGTCAGCAGGAATGCACAAGGCCCTGGAAATCTCACCACGTACTCCAGTATAGGGGTCAAAGGCCTGGATTTGGGGTGTCAAATGTGTAGATATGTGAGTGTCTTCCTGTTCACCCCATAGTTCACAGCCTTTTCCTGGATCCCAGACTTCTGCCACAGTGCCCCTGATGGGCCTCCTGCCCAATGTCTCCCCAGAATCCCAAATCTGACGGATTGAGCAGCTCCCTGGGAGGCTAGAATGGACTGTGATCCAGTGGCTAGCCCTGCAGTGCGGATCTGTGCTGAGGGTGATACAATGGGGATGATGTAATGGCCTGGCTAGCAGGGTTAGAGAAGACCCGGATGTGGAGCCTGGTGGCAGCCTGTCATGGATGCTTCCTGAGCAATAGCAGTTGTTGATTTTTCCTGCAGAATTCATCCTTATTTAAAACCTTCTCTAGGCTATACAAGACATACATGGTATGTATGTGACATGTATGTGTCTATACACGACATACACCTGCAGTCACAGCTACTCAGGAGGCTGAGGCGCACTTGAGCCCAAGAGTTCAAGGGCAGCCAGGGCAGTCCAGATGGATCCCATTAATGTTTTTCTTGACATAGAGCAGTGGTTTGACCATTGAGTTAATATTGTAAGAATGCTTTGCTATGTAATGAGACTAGAACAAGCCAAAAGTTTGTCATGATTGGGTGGGAGGAGTCTGGTTGCTAATGACACTCTGCAGCTTGCCAGTCTGGCAGCAATAATCCTCTTATCTTGGCATAACAAAACTCTGAGTTTAGGAACACTGAGATGTCCTGAAAGGTCCCTGCCAGCTCGCCTTCTGCAGATGGCATTAAGGTACTTTGTTACCCGAGCATGTGGCTTTTCTTCTGTGTACCAGACAGTACAGGTTCCAGGTCTTCTCCAGAGACCATGACACCATCCCTCGCGGCACAGGACAATTTTGGGGTGATCTGTGTGATAATAGGGAGCAGGTGAGAGAGATGCCATGTGACCAGTGTTTGTGGGGAGCTATTTTCCATACACTTCCCATTTGCAGAGTGCCAACATAAATTTTGTTTTAATGAGCAGAAAGGTAAGATGCTGAAAACGCCCAGCTGGGCAAGCAGGGGCACATTAATAGACCAGTGAATTGCTTAGGTTAGCCCTGTTGTGTGGAATGAGAGGCCCATGTTTCCTTGTGCCCAACTAAGCAGGGACCTCCCTTAACCTCCCAGCAAGCTGGGAATGTAATTCCGGAAACATCACGCACAGGCTTGAGCCCTGGCTTCTGCATATGCCATGGGTCAGAAGCTGCAAACCAAGACAGCCACCCACACCGAAGCCAAGGAGTGGGACAGCATAGGGAAGTTTCCCCTGAGTCCTACGCTGTCTCTCATCCCACTCCCCCCTCCACCTGCCTCATTCCTCCATTGGCAGGTGGGGGCCTGCCCCACATCCAGTGTAGGCATAAGGGAAAATACACAATGAGAGAAAGGAAAGTCCCATGTCTGCCTTGCTGGCAGACCCAGGATCAGGAGTCGTATGAGCCCTTCCCAGTGGGCCAACGGCCTCCCCAGCCAACTTTCTCTCTTGATGTTCTTGGGACTCTCCTGATGCTTTAGTACTGGCAACACTAAGTGTGCAGGGTGTTTGTCAGCGTGACACAGTCATCGGGAAGAAGGATCCTCGATTGAGAAAGTGTCTCCATCAGACTGGCCCATGGGCAAGTACCTGGGAGCATTTTCTTGATAATGATTGATGTAGGAGGACCCAGCCCACTGTGGGTGGTGCTGTCCCAATGCAGGTGGTCCTTCCTGTATTTTATAAAGAAGAAAGCTGAGCAACTTGATAATGATTGATGTAGGAGGACCCAGCCCACTGTGGGTGGTGCTGTCCCAACGCAGGTGGTCCTTCCTGTATTTTATAAAGAAGAAAGCTGAGCAAGGCAGGAAGCTTCCTGGTCTCTGCGTCAATTCCTGCCTCCAGATTCCTGCTGGTTTCCCCCAGTGATGGGAGCAGCATAAACCCTTTCTTCTCCAAGATGCTCTTGGTTGTGGTGTTTGATCACAGCAGGAGAAAGCAAATGAGGACGTGCACTGTTCTCCGCACACAATCAGTAACCGGAGAGGAGTGTCCTGACTTGCTAGAGGGTTCAGAAAATGAGGGTGCTTAGTTCCAGTCTTCGCCTTGCTCGCTTCTGGGAAACCAGAAGAGGGAGCTGCTTTAAATGAGATTACATGGCCTGTTGGGGCCTTGCATGGCAGAGATTGGGGACTCTTTGGACAGAAAATCTCTCTCGAAGCTGTGGAGACCTTGGCCAGATTTGAGGCAGGAGTGATATCTGGAAATACGTCAGATGGCCATTTAAGGTTAGAGTGTTTTGGGAAAAACCTTCACGGTTTGGGGGGACTTGGCTTCTCCAGGCTGTGGTCATCATGCCGAGGCCTGTTTCTGGGTACGTCTGTAGAGGCGTGCTGGGGCCGAGGCTAGGATCCTGATCCTGGGTACGTCTGTAGAGGTGTGCTGGGGCCCCTCACAGAACCCAGTGCTGATGTTTGCCTTCTTTTCCTGGCCCTTTAGCTTTGACAACATGCCTCCGTTTCTGTGTCTGCCAGCTGTCTGCATTCTCCTCTTCTACACAGGTAAGCTGGCTTTTTGGTGGGTTGGTTTTGAGTTGTTTTGTTTCTAATCCCACTGACTGACTTTATTTTTGAAAAAGATATTTGTGTACATGGAGAGGATGAGGGGTCTGCTTGCCTGTGCGTGCAGTTGCCAAAGCCAGAGGCCGATGCCTGGTGTCTTCTGTCACTGTCCACTTCAGTTTTTGAGGTCAGGTCTTCTGCTGAGCCCACAGATCACCCTTCCAGTGGGGCGAGCTACCCAGTGAGCCCCTGGGTTGTCCTGTGTCCACCACCAGTGCTGGAGTTATACACACACCGCCCCACCCAGCTTGTATGTGGGGGCTAGGGATCTGAACTCAGTGCTCATGCTGGCACAGCAAGCCCCTCACTGATGAGTCATCTCCCAGCCCTGACTTTAGCTTTTACAGTTTCCTGAATCTACATCGCCATCACATGGCAGCTCCCTGGCCTAGACCCCACCGTCTTCTGCTTGATCTTCTCCAGTTGCCTCCTGCTGGGCCCACCTGGCCCCTCCACACCATTCTCCACGCAGCAGCCTTTCCAGTGTACAAATCCGATCACATCTGGCCCTACCTAAAGCTTCTGTGAGTCCTCTGTGGCCAGTCTCCTCCTGCTGCATAGCATCCTTATTATCTCCTCTTCGCAGAGGTTCTGATTCCTGGCGGCCACTCTGCCCAGATCACATCTCCACCCATCCTGCCACTGTTGCCCGAGTAAACGCCTATCCATCCCCAGCACAGCTCCTCTGGGCTCCCAGATTAAGTCCGTTCCCTATTCAGCTGCCTAGGGCTCGTGCGTTGTAGCACCCAACACAGCTTAATTCTGTGACTCTCTGACAGCTGATGGCTTCCACGGCGGCGAAGGACTCTGTAGACTCTCTCATCATCACTGTGTTGTCTCTGTGTCTCAGAGTCCCCTTCCTTAGCCTCCTACCCTGCCCCTGAGCTCCAGACCTCTCTGAAAGATGAGCTGAGATAGTGGGGAGGACACTGTGTGTCCATAGACGATCACCCCGGAAATAGGGACAAGCACACTGATGGCTCAGTTGTGCAAGCCCAGTCTGGGGTGCTCTTCTGCAAAAGTGAGGTGTCGGGCTGAAGCCCTGACGACAGATCCCTGATCTTCATAGAGCAGACATTTGATGTCTGCGGAGTCAACCTCGGTCACCTACTGCTTATTCCCTGAGAACAGGAAGGCTACAGATAGAAGCCACGCAGCCCGCTCCATCCCATCTCCAAGCCGGGGAGGTGTACCGTCTCACTTGCTGTCTTCATGGTCTAGGGGCTAGTGTATACTGAGCCATCTTGGGGAGCAAGTCCCTGATCTTGGTCAGCTTCCCCAGCCTGAGTTCTGCTCAGTCTTGAGACGGTTTCCCTTCTGAAACCCTGTCCCGCCCGTTTGCACGCTGCGTCTGTCTAGCACTGTGTACAGCTGAGGCAACACAGATATTGGTGGAACTGGCACCCTGGTCTCCTGACTCCTGAGCTGGGTCACTGTGGGTCCTCTCAGGAGACAGGACTGTGGAGGAGCTCTCTGTCAAGCCTGGGCTCTGTGAGTGAATGAGTGAGTAGTTACATCCATGACTGTCCGTGTATTAGCATCATCCACCCGCTGCGAGAGTAAGTTCTGGAACCTTGGCAGGTGATCTTCAGAAGAGACTGCGGATGCGGTTAGGAGCAGCCAAAGCAAGTCATCCTGGTCCTATTCTGTAGCATCACAAAGTGCCTTGCAGAAAGCACTGAGAGTGTCCCTCATACTGAAGGCAGGCTCACCTGAATCCTGGTGCTTGCTCTGACTCTTCAGCTTGTGGTGCCTGTCCCAGACCCAGGAGCTCAGTGCTGGGTCAGCAGAGTGTTCACCTGAGCTTAGAGCTGGGAGAAGAGGCAGGAGGGTGGAGAGGCCCAGCCTGGCAGGCTGACCAGGAACACCCGTGTTGGTGTCCTTTCCAAGGGCAGTATGCTCTTGGCGTGTCTGTCTGTGATCAGTTTCCTGGCAGTCGCAAACCCTGGGCTCCAGGCTGCTGTACCCCACTGGCTCCCCCATGCTTGACCCCAGCAGCTCCTCACTGTCAAGGTGCTTCTTTTGCCTTTCAAGTTTGCAGGCTGCAAGGCTCCGCCTCCCTGGCGTGTCCCCTCTGCCTGTGGTGTGTGTGTGTGGCAACTGGTTGTGTTAGGTCCCTCCAGCAGTTCCGTTCCCTGAGTACTTCTGCAACTAGATACCCATGCTTTAAAGCCGCAGAGGGGAGCTGGCCTTTCGGAAAAGCTCCCTGGGTGTCCTCCCTCATTGCTTTCAGATCAAGTCATCCTGGAACAGCCCTGAGCCCCTTTGGTGTGTTATCCCCACCTTCAATGTTCTTTTCTTATTTTACTTTAAATTTTGGTGCTAGAAATTGTCCTCACAGCCCTGTGGCTGGCACACAAGCCTTCCACCACTTAGCTACCCCTCAGTCCCAGAGTTTTTATAGATTATCCGTGGCTGCTCATGACCTGTTATTTAACAGGTATGAAAAGGCACAAAAAACTTAGCAGTGAACATGCTACCCCCAAACATTTTGGGTCTTGATCATATTAACTATATGGTAAATATATCAATATTTTTTCACATATTTCTATGTTTGTAATCTGTCTTTGGCCCTTCCCTAGCACAAAGAACGTTGAAGCAGAGGGCCTTGCCCCATGCTCCCCCCCCCCCACTACAACTGCTCCCCACCCCCATTTCTTTTCAGTTCTAATACAACAGGGTCAAGGAGAGAACCGTTTCTGTGATTCCTCGTTCACCTGGCCCACTTGTTCTCCTGAAAGCTTTTTATCAACTTACAGCATTGCCATTGTGGGGAAAACTCCCAATTGAATCCTTTCTCAAATATATTTAAAATTTAAATTTAGCCGTGCAAGTTTGTACACATGTGCACTCAGGCCCCCTTTGGAACATCGGCCCTGGTGCCTTTCTTGTCTCTTCTACGAATTTTAAGTTTTGTGACAGCGGTCTCCCCCCCCCCCCACACACACACACACAACAGATGGAGAACTTTGCAAGAACATACCTGGGTACACAGCAAAGAGCTGTACCCAGAGGGGGCACAGTTATGGCCAAGGACTGAAATCCTCACGATCATAGTCTGTCCATGGCCATCTGGTGTTGAAAATTCCCCCCTACAAGCTACTCAAAGAACAAAGTTTCTTTACAGAAGTGGAGAGGTTTCAACTGTTATCTGTTGGAAATATTATTTTAAGGTGTGTTACTTTTGTTTATGCTCTGTAAAATTTGTTTAACGATGCAAAGATGTGTTCGATTAAGTAAATTCACCTGTGGTCCAGAGGCTGAGTCAGCAACTAGCTGCCAGGAAGTTGTAGGGAGGAGCCAGGAGGAGAAGGGTTTATAAAGAGGAGCCAGAAACCGCGTGAGGAAGTCTTGGGAGATGCGAGGAGGTGAGCAGCAACCTTTGAATCTTGAGTTCTTTAGCAGGACAGAGATAACTTCTCTGAGTAGCTGTAGAAGGTTGGGTGCCCGAGGGAACAGAATTTCCACAGGCTGTGGCTCTTGCGGCCTGGCCACTTCTGGTAGCGGTAGCGGCAGAGCTGCAGTTGCTGACTAGGATAGCTGTAGCTTAAAAGGCAGCATCCACTGAAAAGGAGGACAGCAGTTGTCCATGCACCCGAGTATCCACGATCCTTGATCTTGAGGGTAGGAACTGAATACTAAAGCCAGGCTGTCACATATGGTCGCTCACATGTGCCACCGCTCAGCCACCCCCCAACCCTGCAAGCCACACACAGCCACGGCTCTCTGGGGCTTTTTGAGAGAGGGGTGTTGGACTTGTCCCCATCTACCTTCTGCTGTTTCCTGTTCATGTAGGTCACGTAATGTAGCAATAAAGACACCTCCCATCTTACCATGTGTGCCATGACTGCTTCTGGTTTTTCCTCTCCAGTGTCCCCGTCCATCTCTCTTCAAGAATTCTCTGTGAGCAAGGAGACCATCGGGAAGATTGCAGTGGCCAGCAAATGTAAGTGCATTTACCTGCTCCTCCAAAGGCGTGGCTAGTCAGACCTCTGTGCAGTGGATCCAGGGAAGCCACACTCCTCCCGAGAGCTTCCCCTGTAGTCCTGGCCCCTCTACTGGGGCGGCCGGTCATTTTCCCCACCCAGTCCTTTTATCATTCCTCCCGAGTGACTTTCCGTGGTTAAAATAGTAATGATCGCGAGCAGTAATGGCAAGACAACCTCTTTGTTTCTGAATTTTAAGTTACATTTTCATGCATTTATTGTGCATGTATGCACACTTACATGCATACATGCACAGGAGTGATGTGCAGGTGGCAGTCAGAGGACGTGTGGAGGAACTGGTTCTCCTTCTACCATGTGGGTGCTGGGGACCAACCTTAGTCGGAAGCCTGGCCGTCACACCAGCCATCTTCATTGCTGAGTTTCTTAGCCCGTCTCAGGGTTTTTCTGTCACCTGACTGCTATCTACCAAGCCACTCATATTTTCTGCCATATAACCAGGACTTTCCTGGAAGCCCTGCCTGGCTTCTCCTCCTTCTGCCCTCCTAGTTGCGGGGAACTGGGATCTCATTCTCTGCTCCACTGCTTCCTGGTACTCGGTTACGGGGAAGTGACTGGACCACTCTTCCTGCTTCCCGCATCCATCCTGTGGGAGCAGAAACACAGATCTCAGGCAGACGGGGGTGGCTCAGTGAGGAAAGTGCTCACTTGGATCTTCAATGCTCGCATATAAAACTGGGTGTGGCGGGGTGAAACCCTAGCACTAGGCGGAGATGACAGGAGAACACTCCAGGCTCACCGTCAACGCAGGAACTCCAATTGAATCCTTTCTTAAATATACTTAAATTTTAAATTTAGCCGTGTAAGTTTGCACACATGTGCATTCAGGTCCCCTTTGGAATGTCTGACCTGGTGCCATTCTTGTCTCTTCTATGAATTTTAAGTTTCAGTGAGAGACAGAATTTAACAGAAGAGCACACAGGTCATGAGCTCTGTACTGCACAGACATGAGCAGGTGTGCATACCTACAGACAGCACATGTAAACACACACACAGCACAGACATGCACAGGTGTGCACACTACAGACACCCACATGTACACACACACACAGCACAGACATGCGCAGGTGTGCACACCTACAGACACCACATGTAAACACACACACAGCACAGACATGCACAGGTGTGCACACTACAGACACCCACATGTACACACACACACAGCACAGACATGCGCAGGTGTGCACACCTACAGACACCCACACGTACACACAGACATGCGCAGGTGTGCACACCTACAGACACCCACACGTACACAAACACAGCACAGACATGCGCAGGTGTGCACACCTACAGACACCCACATGTACACACACACAGCACAGACATGCGCAGGTGTGCACACCTACAGACACCCACATGTACACACACACACAGCACAGACATGCGCAGGTGTGCACACCTACAGACACCCACACGTACACACACACAGCACAGACATACGCAGGTGTGCACACCTACAGACACCCACACGTACACACACACACAGAGCACAGACATGCGCAGGTGTGCACACCTACAGACACCCACACATACACACACACACAACAGACATCCGCAGGTGTGCACACCTACAGACACCCACATGTACACACACAGCACAGACATGCGCAGGTGTGCACAACTACAGACACCCACACGTACACACACACACAGAGCACAGACATGCGCAGGTGTGCACACCTACAGACACCCACATGTACACACAGACACAGAGCACAGACATGCGCAGGTGTGCACACCTACAGACACCCACACATACACACAACAGACATGCGCAGGTGTGCACACCTACAGACACCAACATGTACACACACACACACACAGCACAGACATGCGCAGGTGTGCACACCTACAGACACCCACATGTACACACACACACAGCAAAGACATGCGCAGGTGTGCACACCTACAGACACCCACACGTACACACACACACAGCACAGACATGCGCAGGTCTGCACACCTACACACCCACACATACACACAGACATGCGCAGCTGTGCACACCTACAGACACCCACACGTACACACACACAGCACAGACATGCGCAGGTGTGCACACCTACAGATACCACATGTACACACACACAGAGCACAGACATGCGCAGGTGTGCACACCTACAGACACCCACACGTACACACCCACACAGCACAGACATGCGCAGGTGTGCACACCTACAGACACCCACACATACACACAGACATGCGCAGCTGTGCACACCTACAGGAACCCACACGTACACACACACAGCACAGACATGCGCAGGTGTGCACACCTACAGACACCCACACGTACACACAGAGACAGAGCACAGACATGCGCAGGTGTGCACACCTACAGACACCAACACGTACACACACACACACAGCACAGACATGCGCAGGTGTGCACACCTACAGACACCCACATGTACACACAGACATGCGCAGGTGTGCACACCTACAGACACCCACACGTACACACCGACGTGCGCAGGTGTGCACACCTACAGACACCCACACGTACACACATACACACAGCACACACATGTGCAGGTGTGCACACCTACAGACACCCACACGTACACACAGACATGCGCAGCTGTGCACACCTACAGACACCCACATGTACACACAGACATGCGTAGGTGTGCACACCTACAGACACTCACATGTACACACACACAGCACAGACATGCGCAGGTGTGCAAACCTACAGACACCCACATGTACACACAGACATGCGCAGGTGTGCACACCTACAGACACCACATGTACACACAGACATGCGCAGGTGTGCACACCTACAGACACCCACATGTACACACACAAACACACACAGCACACGCACAAAAGAACAGACTGGGTAGGAGTTGAACGTTAGATGGCTAGTAAAAGTTCTCCCTGAAGTAGTAGAGTATGTTCCTCCACCAGTGTGGTGATGGTGGGATTCACCAGGGCATTTGCTAAAAATGGTAATTATGTACCTTAAATGGTACAATGGTGTGGTGTAGGAAATCTCAAGAACACATTCAAAGAAAGTCAGGGAGCTAGGAGGACTAAATAAGTGGGCATGTCAGTTATACCTTGTACGGGATAACCAGTGTCAACTTGACACAAGCTATAGTCACCTGGGTGGAGGATGAGGTTCAGTTGAGAAAATGCCTCCATAAGATTGGGCTGTAGAGGCTGCAAGCCTGTTGGGCATTTTCTTAATTAATGATTTGAGAGGGTCTAGTCCATTGTGGGTGGTTCCACTCTTGGAGTGGTGGTCCTGGGTTGTATAAGAAAGCAGGCTGAGCAAGCCATCATGAGCAAGCCAGTAAACAGCACGCCTCCATGGCCTCTGCATCAGCTCCCGTCTCCAGCTTCCCGCTCTGTTTGAGTTCCTGCCGTCACTGCTTTCCATGATAAACTGTGATATGGAAGTCTAAGTCAAATAAAGCCTTCCCTCTCCGCATTGCTTTTGGTTGTGGTTTTTATTACAACAGTAAAAACCCCAACTAAGGCACACCTCAATCAGTTCTGAAGCAGAAGAAAGACATGGTCACTGCTAGTGCTTGAACTCTTGGGTCCATCAACCTCACATGTCAGACTGCCCAGCTAAGATCATGATCCCCAAGGCTGGGACCATGATCATCCCGGAAGACTTTTCACAGCACTCATCGTAACATGGCTGCAGACATGCTCACAAGTGGGCTCTTACGTCAGCATCTTCACAACACAGAAGCTTCTAGTCTAATGTCCCCATCTGCTCCTGTCCCCAGTGATGTGGTGCTCGGCAGCGGTCGACATCCTGTTCCTGCTAGATGGCTCTCACAGTGTCGGGAAAGGGAGCTTCGAGAGATCCAAGCGCTTTGCCATGGCCGCCTGTGACGCTCTGGACATCAGCCCCGGGAGGGTGAGTACACGGTCTTGTCTGGTGTCTGTGGGTTCAAGCGACAGAGACTCAGCTTCAGGCAAAAGAATGAATCGATTGTGGGATGTAGAGGACTAAGGGGCAAATCGAAACGTGGTGGGGTTGATGCTGGGATCTCTGGGATCAGCCAAGGCAGGTAAGCGACCCCTCTTCTTCCTCAGTTTTGCTTGCTTTGGCTGGTTAGCTTCTCTCCAGCCCACAGTGAGGTGGTTCTGCATCATCCTTCCAGCTTGTCCCCCCTCAGGTGGGGGCAGAGGTGCACCTCTTTCTTCGTAGATCAGGCAGAGCTCAGAGGAGGGCACCAAATGACGTAAGCCTCATGATAATCCTCCACCTAGTCACAGCACTGGAGAAGAGGGCCTCATGCAGGTTCGGGGCTGGAGAGGGAAGAACATGGACCTAACTTCCAACTATGGAGAGACTGAATTCAAAGCGGCTTAAGTCTGTGGATATTCTCTGGGTGGTCTGTTGTTGAGGTGGATTTAGGGCGATGGAAGTCTTTCAACAATTAACATTTAACCTTGGCCTCTCGGAAAACAGAATACTCACAGTTTAGAACCTTAGTGTGAAGCCCAGCTCTGTCTTCTCTGGTCACTTGAGCAAGCCCAGAGAGTGCCTTCAAGTCGTATCCTTCCTGGCTTCAAGTGTCACAAATAGCAGAGCAGAGTGAGTGTGGCTCTTGTTTTTAAAGGAACAGCTTTGAACAACCCAACAGCACAATGAACAATAAACTCATTAAGAGGACCGTAAATGGCCCTCAGCTGTGTGTGGAGTCGCCAGCTTCCCTGACTCAGCAGCAGGTCTCCACACTAGCTGTTTTCACTTCCCAGCTGAACGGAAGCACTGGACGCTTGGTGGCATGCTCCCCGGCAAGCCTTCCAGAGATGAAGCCTAGGAGTGCCAAGTGCTTCACTGCCAGGGACAGTGGCAGAGGCTTGTGCCCTCCAGTCTCGGTCTGCTCCTAAGTACTCCCACCCAGGCAGTTACTGATCGGTGTCACCTGTCACCATAAAAGATTTCAGGCAATCTGAACGCGCATTGGTAGGGGACCGGTAAGAACCAACTAAAACCCACCAAAAATGAAATAAAAGGAAGGGTAAATTAGTTTGGAGAACCATAATTATTTGAATTAGAGACTAGTCACAGGGTGGGAAAGGAAGTGGCTCTCCAAGGCGACATTCCTGACTTAATCCTGTAAAAACTGGAGGATCTAAGAACAAACAAGGCTTGTAATGAGGGCCAGGTTGTCTGCAGAAGGGGCGCCATTTGCAGGTGTGAGCACACTGCCCTGGAGTGCAGGCAGTTGGGCCGATCTCTGACACTAGAGATGCATTCACTCCGTGTAGACAGGCACGGTCCAGAGGTTCTGAATGTGGTATCAGTGTCGTATCGGCCCGCTGGGTCTCCACCTTCCTCCAGACAAGGCCTACTTTTTGAAGATGAGTTCCTCCTGGAGGAAGTGGCAATCAATATATTTACTATGTGTAGGTATGTATACATAAACATGGGACCAGAGGACAGCTTTGTTTACTGTATGTAGGCATGTGTATACACGTGTCTGATCAGAGACAGCTTTGTTTACTGTATGTGTGTGTACACACATGTGAGGTCAGAGCACAGCTTTATGTTTACTGTATGTGTGTGTACACACATGTGAGGTCAGAGCACAGCTTTATGTTTAGTGTATGTGTGTGCACACACGTGTCGGATCAGAGGACAGCTTTGTTTGTGTGTGTACACACATGTGAGATCAGAGCACAGCTTTATGTTTACTGTATGTGTGTACACACATGTGAGATCAGAGGACAGCTTTGTTTACTGTATGTAGGCATGTGTATACACATGTGAGGTCAGAGCACAGCTTTATGTTTACTGTATGTGTGTACACACGTCTGATCAGAGGACAGCTTTGTTTACTGTATGTGTGTGTACACACATGTGAGATCAGAGCACAGCTTTATGTTTACTGTATGTGTGTGTACACACATGTGAGATCAGAGGACAGCTTTATGTTTACTGTATGTACGTGTGTACATACATGTGAGATCAGAGGACAGCTTTATGTTTACTGTATGTGTGTGTACACACGTGTCGGATCAGAGGACAGCTTTATGTTTACTGTATGTGTGTGTACACATGTGAGGTCAGAGGACAGCTTTATGTTTACTGTATGTAGGCATGTGTACACACATGTGAGATCAGAGGACAGCTTTATGTTTACTGTATGTAGGCGTGTACACACGTGTGAGATCAGAGGACAGCTTTATGTTTACTGTATGTAGGCATGTACACACGTGTAAGATCAGAGGACAGCTTTATGTTTACTGTATGTGTGTGTACACACGTGTGGGATCAGAGGACAGCTTTATGTTTACTGTATGTATGTGTGTACACACATGTGAGATCAGAGGACAACTTTATGTTTACTGTATGTAGGCATGTGTATACACATGTGAGGGTCAGAAGACAGCTTTTGGGAACCAGTTTTCTCCTTCCTTGGTTCCTGGGGATCAAGCTCAGGTCATTAGGCTCCCAGCAAACACCTCTACCCACTGAGCCAGCTTCTGTAGAGCCCGCTGGCCTCGAACCCAGAGATCTGCCCGCCTTTGCCTCCCGAGTGCTGGGATTAAAGGCGTGCGCCACCACCGCTCGCTTGATAGATACATTCTTTACCCCATATTCTGCAGAAGGGAAAACGGGCTCAGGGACGTTAAACGAGGGCTGAGGGTCACAGAGCAATCTCAGACAGGGTGAAGTGTGGAAGAGCTGAGGTGCTTGACTCAGTCCAGGACCAGCCCAGCTTGTCCATCTGTCTCTCCCAGTGGGCAGCCTCTGGGCTAGGATGGTGTAATGACGCAAATGTCATACCCCGCTATCCACAGCCAATTGAAGCCAGCACTGCGGCAGTCTGTGGTAGTGGAGGGGGTGGGGGTGTGGAATGGTGTGGAACACGGTAAGAAAAACAAGCCTCAGGAGCAGATTTCTACCGCACGAGGGACGACTTGGGTATCTCTGTGTATGTTGATTATCTTTGTGTCCTTGTGACCGAAAGGGAGGAAAACATTTATTGTGCTCATGGATTCAGGAAGATTTTAGCCCATTGAGGTGAGGAAAGCTGGGCAGTGAGAGCATGAGGCCCTGTGGCTGTTTACTGACCAAGGAGGAGAGAAAGCAAGCAGAAACCAGGGCTGGGTGGATGGCTCGGAGACCTGCTAGTATGACCCACCACCAGCCAGAACTCCCTTCTAAAGGCTCAGTCTTCAAAATAGCCCTACAAGCCGAGGACTGAGTGCTCAAAATGGGAACTTGAAATATAGAACTTCAGGTCCAAACCATAATGTAGAAATGTGGGGTGCAATTCTAGGCAGGGCCTGCAACAGAGCCAGGGAAGTGTGAGGGACCCACTCACGTGAGAGAGTGCAGAACGCTCCATCTTAAGTGATCCATCTTAAGAGATCATGGATGCTCGGGGAGAGGAACTTGGGTTTCACCTAACAAAGACTTCCTCAGCAAGACTGAGAAGCAGGGGCCGGGGAAGGACGTAGCTGGGGTGACACTACAGGCAGAAGCTTGCTCCACAAGCGCGAGGACCTGAGTTCTGTCCCCATTCCCACATAAAAAGCCATACATAGTACACACTTGTCACCCCAGTACTGAGGAGGTAGAAAGGCCAGCCACTCTAGCCTGATTAGTCCCCAGGTCCCAGGAAGAGACCCCGTTTCAGAACACAGAGAAACAACACGCAAGGTTGGCCTCGGGCCTCTTCATGCTCTCGTGGATGCAAATACACACACACACATGCACACACACACGCACACAGAAGCCTTGAGGAAGGAGAAGAAGCCTTGGCGTCTGCTTGGGTGAGCCAGCGTCCTGACTGACACAGGCCACAGGCACTCTGCTAGAAGACTTGCTGGCCTGTGCTTGCCTGGCTCCGGGTTTTCTGTCCTTGCTCTTTGCTATATTTGATTTGCCACTTACTTTGGTTCCTTTAGTTTTAGGAATTGCTTCCCAGTAGCTCTGGTTGACACTGTTTATGGGCAGCCGGTTGTTTAGGTAGAGCTGAAGTGTTTGAAGTCCTCTTTTAACAGGAGCTCAGACACTTGCTTCCTGCTCTAATGGCCCTGTGACTGGGGCCGGGAGAGAGACCTGGGCGGTTTGCTCTGTGTACAGTAAACTGAAGATAAAAGGCAGCCATTGTGCTCCCAAACCACCAATTAAACGAAATACCTTAACTTCTGACTGGGGCTGCTTCCTGTGCGCTGCTTTGATTTGATGCTGCATCCTTCCTGCTTAACCCAAGCAAGTGAACCCAGTTGTTGGTCTCTAGAGAATTCCTCCCACCCTTTGACCAAATAACTCCTTTACATGGTTCAATAAAAGCGGACAGCGAAAGAAAGGGAAGAGAAAGAAAGGGAAGAAAAACTGCACCCCCACACCCCCATTCACCAGACCTCCCCACCCGCTCTGATCACCGACCCCCGACTTCTGAGCAGCCTTGCAAATGCACTTTGTGCAGGCACAGGCAACATGAAGATGTGATTTCATTTTCTCCTTTTCTATAAAGTTAGCATCGTCTACGCATTACTTGCTGTCTCGTGTCCTTTAGATCATTATCTTGGCAATCTCATCATCTCTCTGTGTGTGTGTGTGTGTGTGTGTGTGTGTGTGTGTGTGTGTGTGTATATATATATATATATATATATATATATATATATATATTACAGATAATTAGCCCACCATGAGGGTTTACCAGGACTAATTAGCCTGCCCCTATTGATGGACTGTTGCTATTATAAATCCACTGTGATCTTGTAAAGAAAGGCTCGTTCCGCTTGTGTGGAAGAATATCTCTCGGATCGTCTCCAGCAGCCATGTGCGTCTTCAGCTGTTAGTACACACTGGTGCATTGCCCTCCGCAGGTACACACTGGTGCATTGCCCTCCACAGGTACACACTGGTGCATTGCCCTCCACAGGTACACACTGATGCATTGCCCTCCGCAGGTATACACTGGCGCATTGCCCTCCGCAGGTACACACTGACATATTGCCTCCGCAGGTACACACTGACATATTGCCTCCGCAGGTACACACTGACATATTGCCCTCTGCAGGTACACACTGACACATTGCCCTCTGCAGGTACACACTGGTGCATTGCCCTCCGCAGGTACACACTGGTGCATTGCCCTCCGCAGGTACACACTGACATATTGCCCTCCGCAGGTACACACTGACACATTGCCCTCTGCAGGTACACACTGGCCCATTGCCCTCCGCAGGTACACACTGACATATTGCCTCCGCAGGTACACACTGGCCCATTGCCCTCCGCAGGTACGGGTCAGATGCCCAGTTACGCTCCTACACACCATGGCAGAGACTATTCCCTTGGCAGATGCCACATCTGGTTTTTGTTGTCATCGTCGTTGGTTTTGGTTTTGCTAAGCTGAGGGGAAAATGGTATTGTTTTCCTAAGGCCAAATATCCTGCCCCTAAAGAACCATGTGTTTTTCCTTCTTTGATCTTCATTCATGTCTTTGGCCAGTTTTCTGCTAGATTGTTGTTCTTTTACACATGGAGGAAACCAACCCTTGCCTCCATGAGCCCTAAATTCCCTTTGTTTCCTCCTTACCTTTGACCGTGTGAACGTGTGTTTGTTTTACCACGACGCTCTTTCCAAGCACTCAGATCCAGCAGACTTTATGTGTAAGAGTCAAGACTGGATTTTAGTTCCTCGCAAACCAGGGACTCTCCCAGGAGTTCTGGAGTGTCCCTGGGTAAGATGCTCAGCTCTGAAGCTTGAGTTCATGGCCGTATGCCTTTCCAGGTGTCACAGGGTCATGTGCTGAGCAGACAGACTTCCTCAGCTTCAGATGGTATTTTTGACTTCTTGCCGTGTTCTAGGGAACGGCGGTAGGCGGCCTTCTGCTATACGCTCGAGTTGCCCTGCTTCTCTGACTTGCAGTGCTCACTCCCCGTGTGCTCACCCCAGACTTAATGTCTTTCTGCTTCAGGCTACCAACAGCTCCCTGTCTGTGGGAGGCCCAGTGAGGCCAACCAAGGCCATTAGCTCATTGTCTTCCGAGCTCTGGGCCTGCTAAGGGATAGTTCAGAGACTAGTTACTTGAGAAGGTGGCCCTTCTGGGGTTTGGTGAGCCCAGGATTAGGAGCTGGTTGGTCCCATGTTCATCCCTCCAGATGGTCAGAGCCCCGGCTCCAGTCCTGTGAGGCACCTGTCGGGTTTTCTCTTGTGGTCTCCCCAGTCAGGAAGCAGACTCTGTTCTCCAGCTCGGTCACTCCCTCACTGCAGAGAACCTCCAGCTCTCCTATTGCACGTCCCCGTTTTTAGGAGCCGATTGTCCCCCTCTCACTCTCTGGTGTAGAGGCTTGGCAGGCGCAGGTCATCAAGGGTTTGGTGGCTGTGGTTAGGTTTGGCAGCGGCCCCTATGGAGGATTTGGCAGGATTTAAAAGCATTTTCCTGCCAGCCTGTGCCTGCTCCTGAGGAGGCAAGTGGTGTGACAGAGCCTTAGAAAAGTCATGATACCGGGGATTAATGGCCCGGGTTTCCTTTCCCCGCTAGTCCAAGTAAGCCTCGCCTGCATAGCATCATCTGTGTATTTCACTGTTGCCTTCGGCCATGTGGGCATTGACTGGGCCCGGCGGATGAAATGAAATAATGCGTGCACATTTGCACACAGCAGCACCCACGCCAGGAAGATGCAAGCAGAGCCTTGCCTGAAGCTGCTGGCAGCTCAGCCGGGATAGCTGCCAGATGGGGAGCTGCCTTTAGGGGTGAGGACGCTGAGATGATTAGCTGTCACGTCAGAGCACAGGCGGATCTGACCGTGTCCTTCCAGGTTCTCCAGCTGGCCTATGTCTCAAGGGAGGCTGTCCAGAGCTCTGCACAGGGTCTGTTGAGCAGCCAGGAGACACAGGATTTGACCGAAATCTCTGGGCCCTCTGGCCCTGTCTCCTCCTACAGGTCAGGGTGGGAGCCTTGCAGTTTGGTTCCACTCCTCGTCTGGAATTCCCCTTGGACTCCTTTTCTACCCGACAGGAAGTGAAGGCAAACATCAAGGGAATAGCTTTCAAGTAAGTATAATGGACTAGTGTCATGATGGCTCTGAAGCTAGCTGCCTGCTTCTCTCTCTCTCTGTCTCTCTCTGTCCCCCCTCCTTCTGTTCCCCCTCCCTCTTTTTGAAACAGGGTCTCACTGTGTAGTCTAGGCTAGACTAGAACTCTTCCCTGAACTCACAGAGACCTGCCTGCCTCTGCCTCCCTGAGGGCTAGGATTTAAGACTTGTGTCCCCACACCTGGTGAAGCTGCCCTTGAAGCTGCTGCCTTGAAGGGTCTGGTACTGCTCTCCTCCCGGCCCAGCTGTGCATTCTGGATCATTCTCAAGGTGGCCCCCACTAATACAAGATGACATCCAGGCGGGAACTTAGAACCCTAGTTAAAAAATTTTTCTATTATTATATGTAGTTGAGAATTACTAGAAGAGAGGGTTAATGAAGGTCCTGTCAGGTGAACCTGGGAGGTTATGGGAAGAACACGAGGTGTCGGCCTCAGTTATCCCTGGAGACCTCTCAGCTGGGAAGGTTACCCACACTTCTCCAAGCCTCACTTTTTACAAAGTCCTGAAGAGGAAGTTCCCTTCTATTATTCAGGGTACTTTAAGATTGTGGAGAACCGTTCATGTGTTCATCTGCATACATGATGCATGAATGCATGCATATGCTCATCTGCATGCACAGAACATGAATGCGTGCACATGATCATCTGCATGCACAGTGCATGAATGCATGCACGTGCTCATCTGCATACACAGTACATGAATGTATGCATTGCTCATCAGCATACACAGTACATGAATGCATGCATTTGCTCATCAATGCATAAATGTATGCATGTGCTTATATGCATACAGATATATTCTGTATGAATTATATATGTATGTATGTGCATAAGCTCTATGTAATTGTGCTCTATATACATGCATACACATGTATATTTAGGAACATACACATCATACATATTGTTTCCACCCACCCTCAGGGAAGAAGTAGTTTAATTACCCAACTCTGAGCTCTGGGTCTGCCCTGGTCTCCACTGTCCTGCTGCCCAGTGACATCCTGCCTGAGCTCTCTTGTCCCAGCTATCCATAGTCATCAATTTCAGTTATGAAGACTCTGAGCCCTGAGGTTCCTTTCCAGTCAAAGGCCTCTGTGAGATAACCCATATTCTTCAGCACCTGAGGCCCCACATAGGGCACAGCAAGATCTTGGTGGATTCTGCAGTCCCCAGGGTCTCCTAGGAACTGTCCATGACTTTATCCCAGACTCTTATCCAGCCCTTTGTAGATACAAGTTTCTGTTCCACCCAGCCCTGCAGCCATTCAGTTTCAAAGAAATACACAGGTCTTTATTATAAACTGTTTGACCTATTAGCTCAGGCTTATTACTAACTAGCTCTTAAATTTAAATTAACCCATAATTCTTATCTATGTTTAGCCCTGTGGCTTGGCACCTTTTCTCAGTGAAGCATTCTCATCTTGCTTTTTCTGCTTCTGGAAGACTCCATCTCTGCCTTTCCTCTTCCCAGAATTCTCTTAGTCTTGTCGTCCCACCTATACTTCCTGGCCAGTCAGTGTTTTATTAAACCAATATGAGTGACAAATCTTTACAGTATACAAAAGCATTATCCTACAGAAGCCCTTTTCTCTGCCCTGGGTCCCCCAAGCAGGAGGAGAGGCAAGCCTCTTTAAAAAGGACAAATATAAAAGGCTCCCCAGTGCTTTGAAGAGCTCCTGTGGGACACTGTGCCCCTGGGACTCCCAGGAACTGAGTACCTGTGGGACACTGTACCTCTGGGGCTCCCAGAAACTGAGTACTTGTGGGACACTGTACCTCTGGGGCTCCCAGGAACTGAGTACCTGTGGGACACTGTACAGAAACTCGTATGCAACATTCTTCACAGTGGTACTATCTATAACTGCACAGAAACTCTACACTGTTCTTCATGGTGGTACTATCTATAACTGCACAGAAACTCTACACTGTTCTTCATGGTGGTACTATCTATAACTGCACAGAAACTCACATACTCTGTTCTTCATGGTGGTACTATCTATAACTGCACAGAAACTCATATACTCTGTTCTTCACAGTGGTACTATCTATAACTACACAGAAACTCTACACTGTTCTTCATGGTGGTACTATCTATAACTGCACAGAAACTCTACACTGTTCTTCATGGTGGTACTATCTATAACTGCACAGAAACTCTACACTGTTCTTCATGGTAGTACTATCTATAACTGCACAGAAACTCATATACTCTGTTCTTCACGGTGGTACTATCTATAACTGCACAGAAACTCACATACTCTGTTCTTCATGGTGGTACTATCTATAACTGCACAGGAACTCGTATACTCTGTTCTTCATGGTGGTACTATCTATAACAGCTTCAAAATAAAAAGCAGCAATATGTGAAACTGGTTATTGGGTAAACAAAATGTGATATATTCACACAATGGAATATTATTCAGCTTTGAAAAAGAATGATCTACTGATTTATGCTACATCATAAATGACCTGTAAAAACATGACAAATGAAAAAAAAATCGAGATACAAAGGTCACATGCTATAACAAAGCTATATAAAAGCTTCTTTTCATTTACCTCATATAGTGCTGGGGAACAAACCCTAGGCCTTGCAGATGCTTTCCCACTCAGTGTATTTTCCAAGACTTTTATTCAATTTTTCATAAATTTTATTTATTATTGGAGGGGCATGTGCTTGATCTGGGGGTGGATGGCGTATGTGCCACAGCATGTGTGTGGGAAGTGGGGACAGTTTTGTGGCATCGGTTCTCTTCTCCCACTTAATGTGGATCCAGGGCTTGAATTCAGGTCTCCAGGCTTGCCTGGTAAATATGTTTACCTGCTAAGCCATCTTGCTGGACCCTTTGTTCTGTTCTGTGAAATGTCTAGAATGGCATATGCCTGGGCATGTATTAGCATTGTCCTGGGTTTAGGGAACAAGGATGCTTACTAACAGATTCAGGGTTTTTAGAGTAACGAAAAAGTTTTGAGCTTAGTGTTATGGTCATACTGGTTAATAGGTTTTCTGTCCTGTGATAATAGGCTACTCCTCTGATACAGTAAGCCAAATCAAGCCAAACTGAAAAAGTACAAAAACAGGTTTATTTGAGCAAAGCAACTCCCAGGTGGATTCTCCAGTCCCAGAGATGGAGACCTGAGAAGCCACACACCTGAACTAAAGCAGGGAAATTATATAGCTTGTAGGCAAGGGAGGATGATGTGTCTGCCTCAAGCTGGTTTTGTGCCCAAGCACTGTCAAAAGCTGAGTGCTTAGGTGGGAACTTGGGCTGCTGTTGGCAACAGGAAAGGAAGTTGCCATAGTCACCAGGAATGCAAAACTGGGCTTTTCACCCTGGCTTTTCTTTGTTTGAAGACTCTCTGAATGGGCGTGGTTGGGAGAGAGACAGGAATAGGGTTTCTGGATTATACAGCTGGGGCTTCTAGCTGAACACTAGTGAATGTATTAAAAATTACCAACCTGAAACTTTAAAAGGTTAATTTAGGGGCTGGAGAGATGGCTCAGTGGTTAAGAGCATTGCCTGCTCTTCCAAAAGTCAGGAGTTCAATCCCCAGCAACCACGTGGTGGCTCACAACCATCTGTAATGAGGTTTGGTGCTCTCTTCTGGCCTGCAATCACACACGCAGACAGAATATTGTATACATAATAAATAAATATAAAAAAAGGTTAATTTAGAATGCCAGAGGACGGAGATCAGCGAGGTGGCTCCGTACATAATGGCACTTGCTGTACACCTGAGGACCAGAGTCCAGTTCCTGGGACTCATGGTAGAAGGAGAGAACCGACGCCTGCAAGGTGTCCACTGACCCCCAAATACATATCATGGCATGCATGTGCTGCCACCCCAATAAATAAATGTAAGGTACAATTCAAAAATCCCAGAATAGGCTGCAGGGGGTGACTGAAGGAGCCCCTTTGGGGATGTGTTTAGCGTTTCCACATCCTCTTCTGACTATGAGACAACAAAAACAAAGTAGTGGCTCTTTGTTGACCTCAGTTTTGGGGTCAGTCAGGGCATCACAAATGAAGCTGTGCTTGCATGCACCGAGGCTGAGGAATGCTGGTCCAATGGGGGCAACAGTGACTAGCCATGCCCACCATGTTCTGCAAAGAGAAACTTTGTTACTGGACTGTTTAGGAAAGGGCTCCTTACACCCGTGGTCTGCTAGCTTTTCCAGACCAAGGCAGCTTCCAACAGGGCATTAAGAAGCCGCCCTGACAACTGACCTTTCGCCGCTTTACAGAGTGTTTTAGATGTGTCCGTCAAGCCTCCCAATATTGTACCAACGGTGACATAAGGTCAGAGAGAATGTCAATGGCCGGTGGTTCTGGGAGGTCAGAGCCCCCACTAGCTGGTGCGCATGGCCTTGCCACCCACGGCTTTCACCTCACAGTAACCCAGCCCCAGTCTCCTGTGACTGAACCCTTGGTACCTCTCATAGCTTGTTAGGTCTCTACTCTTTCCTCAGCAAGTGTGCTTTGCATGAAACCACTTCCAGCCATCCCTTTTAAAGATTAGTGTTTAATTGTGCATATGAGTGCAGGTGACCTCAGAGGTCAGAAGGAGGTATCAAATCCTGTGGAGCTGGAGTCATAGGTGGTCCTGAGTCCCCTGATGTGGGTGCTGGGGACTGAACTTGGGTCCTCTGGAAGGCCAGTGCATGCTCTTAACCTCTGAGCCAACTCTCCTGCCCCCCGCCAAACCTTCAGCTGCTTTTAACTCATGTTAGCGTTTAAACATAGCTTTAAAAATATTTGGAATTTCAAAGCATGTTACTTTTTTACTTTATATGATTTGGTACACACTGCTACATAAAATGTATTTTTTTATGTTGATCTGATAAGCTGAATAATACATCTTTCAAAGTGTATTTAATCTTCTCATTCCCTCAGAAGGAAGCACTTGGGTTGAGCCTTGGATTTTTGTCTATCATTTTCAAAGGGCTCAGATCAACTTCCCTCTCTTGAAGTGAGGTTTCTCACGTGATATCTGTCCTATGGTAGGTAGCTTATGTCAGAATTGTATTTGTGGGAGTGGGCAGAACTGGTTTAAAATGTAGGTTGTCTAGCCCTGAGTAACACATCTGTTCATTTGAATTCACGGGAACTAGGGTCTGAGAACATCTTTAAGTAACTACTTTTTATGTCTGCTGGGACTTGAGGTTCAGCTTCTTATGGTGGCTTAAGCCACTGAAAGGAGAGGCTAGTTGGGAGAGGTGGCTGGGCGGGGGGGGGGGGGGGGGACAACACACTGGACCCATGGACAATCTGTATGAGGCATAGCTGTCTTTAGTGTTAAGGCAAATCTCTCTCTCTCTCTCTCTCTCTCTCTCTCTCTCTCTCTCTCTCTCACACACACACACACACACACTGAGAGCAAGCAAGCGAAAGACGACCAGGCAGGCTGTATCCATGTTTCCAGTTGGTTGGATGTTTGGACATAAAAATAGCAGCAGAGGACTTGGGTGAAGGCAGACATGGTCTACAGATATAGTGTATATATCTGATATACATACTGTGTATATGCGTGCACACCATCCATCCATATATCCATATCACTGAATGATGAACCATACTTCAACCATGCTGTTCACGTGGCCAACCACTGCATAATCCCATCCCCTTCACAGTTGCTCATGCTGGAGAGATTCCTGTCAGCTAAAGGGTTTGGCCTCAGTCAGCCAACAGTTCACTGGCTTCAAATCCATTGTCATGAGTTAACTGTCCTGACCAGCTGCTGGCCCTGTGAGTCTTTTTGGTTTGGATGGTGGAGATGCACCTTTGAGCCTCTGCTAGGAGTCTCTGCTCTTCCTCCCAGCAGGAACCCGTTTGCCTCTGGCCTCCCTCCCTCACTTCCTCCTTGTGTTTCCTTAGAGGTGGACGCACAGAGACAGGCCTTGCTCTGAAGAGCCTGCACAGAGGGTTCCCGGGAGGCAGACATGGTGCTGTGCCCCAGCTCCTCATCATTGTCACGGATGGCAAGTCCCAGGGGCCCGTGGCTCTGCCTGCTAAGCAGCTGAAAGAGCAGGGCATCGTTGTGTTCGCTGTAGGAGTCCGCTTCCCCAGGTGAGTGTCAGTCCGCATTAGCCCTCACGCAGTGGGGCCAACATGACCAAAAGCCTTCCAGAACCTTCACAGACTCAGCGAGATTGGGGGGCTGAGAGAACCAACTGGTCAACAACAACCTGACTTGTTTTGTGGGTTCTGGTTTGCATTGCACAGCACATCCGAACCTTTGAAAGCACTGGGCTTTTGTGCCTCCTTCTGCCTTTAACTCAAAATCATTGGACAAAATCAAGTCACCACCCTGCTTCCCCATGAGGGGCAGCCACCCCTCTGGTAGGTCAGAGCCATGAGCCTCAGTGCCGCTCGGCTCCACCCTGTCCACCACGCATCTCTCAACCTCTCTCTACTGTCGTCTCAGCCTGGGAAGTTTAGGGTTAGGAGCTGGGGTCATAGGCAGCATGCCAGCTCACAAAGTGACATCTCAGTGTTGGGAGGAGAGGAAGGGGACCATCTCTGCTAGTCCAGTTCTGACCAGTTTGAGTCACTTGTACACCTGGTGCTGGCAGTGGGCAGGGAGTCTCTGAGTCCACTTCCCTCTCCAGGCCCCTCATCCAGATGTTGGGCAAATCTGCCTTCCTGGAAGAGGGGGCCACATGCTCCCATGCTCTCAACCTAAAAAATGAACGTGTACCTCACTAATCCTTGGATTTCTAACTAGGTTCTAGGGGAAATGACTGTGGTTGGGCACCATGTTTACATTCAGAAATGTCTTTTGTTTTATGATTGTGGCTGGCACCTGAATTCCTCCGGCAGCTTTTGAGAAAGCCTGTTTTGGGCCAGAGCAGTGGAGGGGAGACAGGAAGGACACATTCAAGAACCCCTCTTCTTTATGCCAAGGGATAACTGTGTACTGTGTGAAAAGTTTGACCTCTGTGGGTTCAACTAAGAGTGGAGAGTTTGATACCGTGAAGTCGGAAGCCTGGTGACTCTGGTTCTGTTTGAGTTGCAACAGGTGGGGTTCTTCTCTTCCCATCACAGACTTCTGCTCATCTTCCAGTTTTTAAGATATGTGTAACTCTGTGTCAGGACTGGGCACACAGGCATGTCATGGTTCACTTGTGGAGGTCAGGTCTCCCCTTCCACGTGGGTCCCAGGGATCAGACTCAGGTCATCAGTGCCCTCACCTGCTGAGCCTCTCACTGGCTCTTAAGGAAACAAAAATGATTCTCTGTATTATCTCCCCTTCATGACCTAGGGGCATCCCAGATACCATTTTGCCCTGGGCACTGGTGGCAATGCCCTCGGCACTGAGGGGCTCTGGCTGCATCCCCTCCACAGCTGCACATGGCTTTCCTTGGCTGCCCTTGGGGCTTGTGTCGTACCTCAGTGTTTGGCTGGCATTGGCTGTCCTTATTGGTTTTTCTCTTTCTCACCTCAGAAAGCTTTTTCTCATTTGCTTTCTGATTGTTTTAAGCAATTAATATATAACTTAAAAAACAAGAGGAACGTCTGACAAAAGAAAATGCATTAGGAACGTATGTCCCACCCTGTAAAGAAAAGAATTCCCAGAGTTAAAGTTTTGTTTCCTGAAAGCTATGACTTTCAGAAAAGTCAGCTGAATCTCTTAGCACTATGTCTTGAATATGAGCTGATTGGTCTGAGGATGAGGTATTTTAGAAAGGTTGGCCCATTGCTGGGCTTCCTTGAGAACCTCCTGAGTTTACATCTCACCTGGACGATGAGGTTGTTATGAGCTGACCTCTGGGTCAGTGGGATGTGCTGTGGTCCAGGAGTTAGGGAGACAGGATGAGGCAGGGTATGGTATCAGCTGCTGGAATTTTCCCCCAGGTGGGACGAGCTGTTCACCCTGGCCAGTGAGCCAAAGGAGCAGCACGTGCTGTTTGCTGAGCAAGTGGAGGATGCCACCAACGGCCTCCTCAGCACCCTGAGCGCCTCAGCGCTCTGCACCTCTGCTGATCCAGGTAGGACCGGCCAGCCTGCGAGGGAATGGTGTTGAACCTCACAAACTGGGGCATGGATGGAACAGGGCTCCTGAGGCAAGAGCCTCCCGGGGAGGGCTGGTAAGAGAGATGGCAGGCCCTGTCCTGAGGACTGCATTCTGTCTCCCTCTGGCTGACCTTGTCAGTTTCCCAGCTGGAGTCTATGGGGAAAGAGGGGCCTGGGTTTATGGTCAGTTTGGTTGGGCCCTCTCCCCTGTTGGGGAGAAAGAATCAAGTCCACACTCCTTGCTTGGCTGCATGGAGGGACTCAGGGAGGTTTGGGACTTATCTCTCCTGTTGTGGTCCACCCTATAACTAGAGGGACTGTCATTAGAAAGTACTCGTATGCATGCTCCATGTGGAACCCTGGTCGGAGAAAATCCTAAAAGTGCCCCCCTTCACTGCTCTGCACCAGAGAGGCCACGGGTTCTACAGGGAGGGTAGAGTAGGACCCCACAGCAGCAGTCTGGAGAGCGAGGGCAGAGGTGAGCAGTGCCCCTCATCTAACTGGGAGGGGACTGTCTTCTGACACAGATTGCAGGGTGGAAGCTCACCCCTGTGAGCGCAAGACACTGGAGACCATCAGGGAACTGGCTGGCCATGCCCTGTGCTGGAGGGGGTCGAGGCAGGCGGATGCTGTGCTGGCTGTGCGCTGTCCCTTCTACAGGTTTGTCCACATAGTGTGGGGCAGAGACACGGCCCAGGGCCCATCCCATAATTCTGAGGGCTCTAAAACTGCAGGGAGATCAGCACTCTGGGTCCTGGTGCTGGACAGTTTGGAGCAGAAAAGCCGGATACATAGGATGAGGCCAGAGATGGAGCTCTGAGAACCAGGGAGGGCACAGCTACTTGCTGTAGGTTTCTCCCTCTCCTGAACACTTACCCTGGCTTGCCTTGGAGGTGGGGGAGGGGAGCTTGCATTGGAAATAGAAGCCAGGGAGAGTCTAGAGGGGGGGGGGATAGTATTTGTATCTAGACCTGGGGGAGACAGGGATGAGCCACATGCAAGTCTCTGTGGATATAATATTTGCCTCTGTCTCCCGAGTGCTGGGACTAAGGGCACCACCATGCCCAACTACAATGCTAACTTGCAATGTGATGCCTAGTTCATATCTTTTTTGAGGGTAGAGGGATGCACAAAGAAGGAAGTGAGCGTTTAGTGCTGTGATCTCTGAAGCGTTTGGTCATGCCACCACTGTACTTCCTTGTATTGTAGCTGGAAGAGAGTGTTCCAGACACACCCCGGCACCTGCTACAGAACCATCTGTCCAGGTATGTGTGCCTGTTGGACCTACCAGTTCTCTGGGAAGCTGGTTTATGAAGGGACACTGATAGCCCTGAGTGGAGGTGGCCATGGATGAGGTCCAGGGCAAGAGGGATGGGCATTTAGTGGCCAAGGACTGTGTCCTGCTGTCCCAAGTCTTCATCTGCTTGGTGGCATACTGTCACTGAGAATGGACTGGTAGCATTGGAACTACCTGCCTTAGCCAACGCGCTTTTCATCAGTGAGGAACACCTTGAGTAACAAGAAGACACCCCATGGGTCAGTGTGCTGTGTGTCCACCTTCACACCGGGACACCCCATGGGTCAGTGTGCTGTGTGTCCACCTTCACACCGGGACACCCCATGGGTCAGTGTGCTGTGTGTCCACCTTCACACCGGGACATCACACCGGGACACCCCATGGGTCAGTGTGCTGTGTGTCCACCTTCACACCGGGACACCCCATGGGTCAGTGTGCTGTGTGTCCACCTTCACACCAGGACACCCCATATGTGCTGTGTGTCTACCTTCACACCGGGATACCCCATGGGTCAGTGTGCTGTGTGTCTACCTTCACACCGGGACACCCAATGGGTCAGTGTGCTGTGTGTCCACCTTCACACCAGGACACCCCATATGTGCTGTGTGTCCACCTTCACACCGGGACATCACACCGGGACACCCCATGGGTCAGTGTGCTGTGTGTCCACCTTCACACCGGGACACCCCATATGTGCTGTGTGTCTACCTTCACACCGGGACACCCCATGGGTCAGTGTGCTGTGTGTCTACCTTCACACCGGGACATCCCATGGGTCAGTGTGCTGTGTGTCCACCTTCACACCGGGACACCCCATGGGTCAGTGTGCTATGTGTCCACCTTCACACCAGGACACCCCATGGGTCAGTGTGCTGTGTGTCCACCTTCACACCGGGATACCCCATGGGTCAGTGTGCTGTGTGTCCACCTTCACACCGGGACACCCCATGGGTCAGTGTGCTGTGTGTCCACCTTCACACCGGGACACCCCATGGGTCAGTGTGCTGTGTGTCCACCTTCACACCAGGACACCCCATATGTGCTGTGTGTCTACCTTCACACCGGGACACCCCATGGGTCAGTGTGCTGTGTGTCTACCTTCACACCGGGACACCCCATGGGTCAGTGTGCTGTGTGTCCACCTTCACACCGGGACACCCCATGGGTCAGTGTGCTATGTGTCCACCTTCACACCAGGACACCCCATGGGTCAGTGTGCTGTGTGTCCACCTTCACACCGGGATACCCCATGGGTCAGTGTGCTGTGTGTCCACCTTCACACCGGGACACCCCATGGGTCAGTGTGCTGTGTGTCCACCTTCACACCGGGACACCCCATGGGTCAGTGTGCTGTGTGTCCACCTTCACACCGGGACACCCCATGGGTCAGTGTGCTGTGTGTCCACCTTCACACCGGGACACCCCATGGGTCAGTGTGCTGTGTGTCTACCTTCACACCGGGACATCCCATGGGTCAGTGTGCTGTGTGTCCACCTTCACACCAGGACACCCCATATGTGCTGTGTGTCCACCTTCACACCGGGACATCACACCGGGACACCCCATGGGTCAGTGTGCTGTGTGTCCACCTTCACACCGGGATACCCCATGGGTCAGTGTGCTGTGTGTCCACCTTCACACCGGGACACCCCATGGGTCAGTGTGCTGTGTGTCCACCTTCACACCGGGACACCCCATGGGTCAGTGTGCTGTGTGTCTACCTTCACACCAGGACACCCCATATGTGCTGTGTGTCCACCTTCACACCGGGACATCACACCGGGACACCCCATGGGTCAGTGTGCTGTGTGTCCACCTTCACACCGGGACACCCCATATGTGCTGTGTGTCTACCTTCACACCGGGACACCCCATGGGTCAGTGTGCTGTGTGTCCACCTTCACACCGGGACACCCCATATGTGCTGTGTGTCTACCTTCACACCGGGACACCCCATGGGTCAGTGTGCTGTGTGTCCACCTTCACACCGGGACATCCCATGGGTCAGTGTGCTGTGTGTCCACCTTCACACCGGGACACCCCATGGGTCAGTGTGCTGTGTGTCCACCTTCACACCGGGACACCCCATGGGTCAGTGTGCTGTGTGTCCACCTTCACACCGGGACACCCCATGGGTCAGTGTGCTGTGTGTCCACTGGTAACACTGGGAGAAGTACAAGGACAGCGAAGCTCGTGGGGTGAACAAAGGTGCCCACGGATGTGGGCAGCCTGACTGTGGTGTGTTGAAAGCTCACCGCTCTTCTGTGCCAGGAGGTAGAAGCCTTGGGCACCCACAGGTGACTCTTTAACAAAGGAAGGCCATCGGCCCACAGCCATGCTGTTTCTACCTTGATGCTACTGAGATCACATCCTTAGTCCACCCGCCCACCCCGCCACCCCCACACCGGCCCTTTCAGCCTCCTCAGATGATGACAATGTCCTACCGTCATAGCAGGAGCACAGCTATGCAGACTCATCCTGGAGGAGACTCTAATTGTCTTGGGTCTTACCGAGGTCTTCCAACTGTTCCCAGTGCCCCTTCTAGGTATTTGATTCTTTCTTGGCTGTCCTCCTACCAGATGGTGTGGGAGAAAGCCGAGACCACCCTTCAGGCATTGCTCTCCACTCTGTGCTTGTGTTCTTGGCTTCTAATGGGTATTTCTCTAACAGGCCCCTGTGACTCCCAGCCCTGCCAAAACGGAGGTACATGCATTCCAGAAGGTGTGGATAGGTACCACTGCCTCTGCCCGCTGGCATTTGGAGGGGAGGTCAACTGTGGTATGTATGCCTGGGACTCTAAGAATTGACTCCCTGTGGGGAGGTAGGGCCTGGGGTAGCCCTTCTTGTCCCCTACTAGCTGCTGGGAGAAAACAACCCTTAAATTTTCAAGCCACCTTCTTTCCCCATAGCCCACTGTTCTGTCCTACAGTGCAGCCTCACATCCCACGGTTGATCCAGACGGTGACAAGCGGGCAGAGCTATGGAATAGCCACTGCCTAATGTCTGAGCATGTCTGTGGCTTGTTTGATGCCTTCTACAAAAGAGGAATAAGGAGTTCTAGCTTCTTTTGGTTTTGTGGGGAAATTTCTATAAGCCTTAGCTCAGGGAGGCAGGGGATTGGGGGACGGACAGTTAAATAGGGTTATATGTAAGGTGCTCAGCACAGTGCCCAGCACACAGTGAGAACTTAAGTAACTTTTGCAACTGTGCTATTGCCTTCGTCGGTGATCCTTATGGAACAAGTAAATCTCATACCTCAAGCCTACTCAAAATCAGTTCAGGGTACAACTGTACCTGCAAAAAGCAAAACAGGGAAGCTTCTAGAAGAAACATAGGAGCATATTTCCATGATCTTAGAAGCTGACAAGGCTATCTCAGGGCTCAAAGGGCACTAACCACAATGGGGAGGGAAGTTAGAGAATAGATGTGTTTTGTTTTATAAAAAGCAATCGGACTGCGTCCCTTAGCAGAGGCAGGAAGACGCACACCACCTCTGTCCCTTCTGTCTCTCTGTGACCCTTGGACACTTACTCCGGGGTTGCCAGCGTCTTCCTGGGAGGTTCCTTGTGCCTGAAGTGGTATGGAAGCCTCTCCAGTAGGGCTGGTCTGCAAGCTGCGGTGGCCCTACATAACAGTATGTCTCACTATGACCGACAGCCCCGAAGCTGAGCCTGGAATGCCGGATTGACATCCTCTTCCTGCTGGACAGTTCTGCGGGCACCACCCTGGAGGGCTTCCTGCGGGCCAAGGCTTTTGTGAAGCACTTCATGCAAGCTGTGCTGAGTGAGGACTCTCGTGCCCGTGTTGGGGTGGCCAGTTACAGCAGGGACCTGATAGTGGCCGTGCCTGTCGGGGAGTACCAGGATGTGCCAGACCTGGTCAGGAGCCTTGACAGCATCCCCTTCCGTGGCGGCCCAACGCTGACCGGCAGTGCCCTGCTGCAGGTGTCGGAGCATGGCTTTGGAAGTGCCAGCAAGACAGGCCAGGACAGGCCACGCAGAGTTGTGGTTCTGCTCACCGAGTCACACTCCCATGATGAGGTGGCCGGGCTGGCAGATCACGCAAGGGCCCGGGAGCTGCTCCTCCTGGGCGTGGGCAGTGAGATAGTGCAGGCAGAGCTGGAGGAGATAACTGGCAGCTCAAAGAATGTGATCGTCTACACGGACCCTCAGGACCTATTCAGCCAGATCCCGGAGCTGCAGAGGAGGCTGTGCAGCCAGCCACGACCAGGTAGAGTTGCGCATCCTATTCTAGGGCCGGGTTGTCGGCAGGCAGGTTCGTCTTTCTTCTTAGCACCGCTAATCATTCTCTTCTCCAGTGCCTGTGCTGGGGACTAGAATCAGAGTCACGGCTAGTAGAGATAGGGTGTAGCACTCTGTGGGCGCTTCTTGTGAGAACTAGCTAACACAAGGCACAAACACACACACACACAGCATGTCCAAGCGCTCTGCCAATTACAGGTATTACTACTAATTAAACTTGATCATTGTTATTAGTCTTTAGGAGTGCTGAGTCTACCAAGCCTCCTTGAGAACGGCGGCTTTCTGGCCTCTCTGCTGGTAGCTCGTTAAAGAGAAATACATTCTTGGGACACAGGCACACGTACACACGCTTGTTGTTGCACAAACACAGCCAAAGCGAACATTTCCCAAGGTGGTACCTACCCTGTCTCCCTGGCGTGTGCTGTAGTACTTCTGTTTCATTGCTCTCAGGGCTGATTTTGTGAGTAACTGTGAGAGAAAGAATGGCAGCCCCGGGAGTAGGCATGGGCATGCAGGGACTGGGCTAGCACCGGGGACACCAGAGCCGGAACACTCCGTAAGAGCGTGCTTCAGTATGGAGGAAACTGCACAGGGTACTCAGCATCCCAGGCATATTACTGTCCCCAAAGTCCCCACTCCTGTAGCAGTGCTGAGGATTGCTATGCCCCCCCCCCCATTCTGTCCAATCCTATGGCAAAATGATTTGGACTTTATTTTGGTTGCAGATATCCAAAAGAGATGCGCCAGCTGCAGAGGGTCCCTGTGTTCGTTCCCTCACATGAGAATGGATAGTTGTTACAGTTAACAGACCAAGACTGATAAACTGTTACTTAGTACCCTTCTCCTTTGCTCAGTCTCCTCAGCTTTTACCGTAAATCTCTTTGTCCCCTCCCTCATGCCAGCAGTGTCCTCCCCCCAGGACAGCTAGTGGCCCTGTCTCCTCAGGCTCCTGTGATTGTGGCAGTTTCTATATTTTCCTTGTGCCCACTGTGGTTTTTAAGAGCCGATAAATCAGGTCACCAGACCCTCTGACTCCACGTTGAAATGTTCCCAATGGCTATCTGCATCTCTAAGAAAGCTGAGCCGGTTCTGCTAGTTTCCAAGAGCTTCCTGTCTGGCTGTTACAGCCTCCACAGTTCCCACACCCTGGAAGAGTGAGGAAGGTTCCTCCCCGCTTAGAGATACCCACCTGTCAGCTTCAGCTCTCTCCTTCTCCAGAGCCAGCAGGAGCCTCACCTCCCCAGGAACCCCCAAGGCAATCTTGTCCTGCTGCTCCCTCTGGCCCTTTCCCGCTCCCCCTACTGTGCTGTAGACTGTGTGGCACACTCATGTTCTTTTCCCACCCACCTGTCATAGAGGGTGGGTATCAGCCCTCTTAATACACGTAATATTAGAGTCCTGTGTGCGGTAGGCAGCATGTGGCGAAAGGGGACAGGTGAAGTGCAGCCATCGGGGTCTCCAGAAAGACTCCATGTGCTTTCGTAGATCAGGGATGAATGACCTGAGCCAGCAGGTGGTTTGACTTTGCCAGCTTGTGGCTTCCGTGTTGAGGTACAGGTCACCGTGTGTCAGTCAGGGAGAAGAAAAAGATGGGGGAGGAAGGCGGGAGGCAAGCAGCTTCCATTGGCATGTGTTGGAACCGATAGTTTCAAATGTGGAAACCATGCTCCATGTAGACGGTGGCTACGGCACGGCCACCAAGGCTGGAAATGGCACCCGAGTGGCCGCTTGTATTCACGCTTCTATTCTAGAAGAGTGGATACCACATGGCGGTCAGCACGCTGGCTGACCTGGACTCAGGCCAGGACAGACAAGAGACCTCTTCTGCTTGCTCCTGCAGGCTGCCAAGTGCAGTCACTGGACCTGGTGTTCCTGCTGGATGCCTCTGCCTCCGTGGGACCTGAGAACTTCGCGCAGATGCAGGCATTCATCAGGAAATGCACCCTCCGCTTTGATGTGAACCCTGATGTGACACAGGTGGGCCTGGTGGTCTATGGCAGCCAGGTGCAGACAGCCTTTGGACTGGACACCCTTTCCACCCGTGCCGCCGTGTTGCGGGTCATGAGCCAGGCTCCCTACCTAGGGGGTGTGGGGTCTGCTGGCACAGCCCTGCTGCACATCAACGACAAGGTGATGACTGTCCAGAGGGGCGCCCGCCCTGGGGTCCCCAAGGCTGTGGTGATGATCACAGGCGGGAGCGGGGCGGAAGATGCAGCTGTCCCTGCCCAGAAGCTGAGAAGCAATGGCATCTCCGTCTTGGTTGTGAGCGTGGGGGCTGTCGTCAGGGAGGCTGTGCGGAGGCTCGCTGGTCCCCGGGACTCCCTGATCCATGTGGCAGCTTACGCAGACCTACGGTACCATCAGGACGCACTCACTGAGTGGATATGTAGAGGTGAGTGGGAGAAGGGACGCATCTCTTAGAGCTGTCTTGAGCTGGGAATCTGTCTGAGCCGTCACACATGTTATGAGGAAGACAGCTTCCTAGTCCTCATTTACCTTATCTCGGCTTAGCTATTAAATCCTACAGTCCCACAAAGTTCCATAAATATACATCGAAGGGCCCAAGAATCAGTCTCATCAATCACGTGCTCAGCTGTTACGTCAGGACCAAGGGTGTTCATTCAGCTCCATGGCCTTTAAGATTGAACTGTGCTTGCTTAGAATAAGGGGGCCTTTGGATCTGACCCAGGCTTGGGCACACTCCCTTTTGCAGAAGCCAAGCGGCCAGTCAACCTCTGCAAACCCAGCCCATGTATGAATGAAGGCACCTGTGTCATGAAGAACGGCAGTTACCGCTGCAAGTGCCGGGGTGGCTGGGGAGGCCCCCACTGTGAGAACCGTGAGTGGGTTCCTTCTGCGAGTGTGGATGGGGGTGGTCCTACAGACTCAGCGGAAGGCAGGCTGTCCTATTCAGTCATCTGCCCGTTCCCCTAGGAAACATGTGGAAGGGTCTTCCATGTCCCAGACATTCTTTTCTAGGGTCGGAGATGCAGGGTGATGGCCGAGGCGGAAGATCTGCCCCATCGAGCTTCCATTCCAGCGTGCAGTAGAGTGCAGCGGTGGCATTGGAGTGTGGCATTAGGGGGACTCAGGTGCCCTGGAAACAGCATGACAGCAGGGAGGGAAAAGCAGAGCATAGGGACAGTATCGGAGGTGGGACCAGAGACAGGCAGGTGGGTAGACATAGGGACAGTATCGGAGGTGGGACCAGAGACAGGCAGGTGGGTAGACATAGGGACAGTATCGGAGGTGGGACCAGAGACAGGCAGGTGGGTAGACATAGGGACAGTATCGGAGGTGGGACCAGAGACAGGCAGGTGGGTAGACATAGGGACAGTATCGGAGGTGGGACCAGAGACAGGCAGGTGGGTAGACATAGGGACAGTATCGGAGGTGGGACCAGAGACAGGCAGGTGGGTAGACATAGGGACAGTATCGGAGGTGGGACCAGAGACAGGCAGGTGGGTAGACATAGGGACAGTATCGGAGGTGGGACCAGAGACAGGCAGGTGGGTAGACATAGGGACAGTATCGGAGGTGGGACCAGAGACAGGCAGGTGGGTAGACAGTGTGGCAGCCGCTGTCCATTCTTGAGTATCTCCATTTGTTTGGTGACATATGGGAACAGCCTGCTGGGTGGGGGCGAGGTGCTGGAGCCTCAAGAGGAAAGGTGGCATAAGGAGAGCCCAGATAACAGGCCTGGGGACAGCAGCACCCAAGCCTCCTACATCAGGCAGAAATCAAGACAACCCCAAGTTATGGGTTTTCAGCCCTCAGTGCACACTGGCTTCCAACGGCCAAGGAGGAGGCGTGGGTGGTGGGATGGAGGTCTGACCGGGCATCTTTCACTCAGGGGATTGAGTTGTGGAGTGAAAAGGACATGAAGTAGCCACTGGCTGAGGGGAAGACTCAAGCACCCTCAAAATTCACTTTCTTTCCCAGGTATCTTGAGAGGCGATGCTCCCATGGCAGAGCCCACAGGAAGACAGCAGCCAACCCCCTCCCAGCAAGCTCCCGGGCATCTCAGAATCTGAAAGACACTGTCTAAGGCCCAGTGTACCTCCTGGGGTCCTGGAACAGCTGCTTCCAGCTCTAAGCAGTGCTGTCCTGCCCCCAAGCCTCTGCCACAGAGAACTGTGCTGCTTGGGACGTTGGAAACTCCTAACGTGTCAGTATTTATGTCCTGTATCTGCTGGTCACTTTTCTAGAGGATAAGAAAGAGGTCAGGGGAATTTGATGGCCTGTTTGGGGGTCATTTTGACCATCGCAAATGCTAGACAGAATTCTGAAAAGGTTGCAGTGCCCAGAGGAAGGCGTCCGACAGAGTATACCATGCAGCAATGGTGTTGACACAAAATGTGGGCTTCTCCATTTTCCAAAGATAGCTCATGGATTTAGCTTGAAAAAGGATTTTGTGGCATTTGTGACTTTTTCTGGTGATCAGATCTGCATGTGGGAAAGACATTAGGAAGGTCTCAGACAGCAATCTGACCAACTAACCAGTCTGAGTATACAGAGGGGGCATAGTGTACAGACAGCTCTGGTCTCCATGTGTGGTTGGCCTGGGTGCTACGCAGGAAGACCTCCAGGGGGTTTCCTTTCAGAGATTATTAGAGAGGTGAGTGGTATGGGGGTCCTCTTTTTAGTGAATGAAGGGCAGACTTCACAAACTCGGTCAGCCATTAAGGAGTGAAGGGGTAACGAGGAGGTTCTCTTTGAAAGCTTATTGGATTGCTTTGTCTTACATGCTTCTCCCACTCAGTCTGTTGAGGAGCTTTTCACGAGAAATCAGCCATTGGTGTATCCGCAGTAATTGTATCTGTGTGGCCAAGAGGACTCTTTGAGCACCTAACTCTGCAGCGCTAATGTGTGTTCCTCCCCTGCTTGCGTGTGCTGTTGGGAGCTGGGCTGTCGGCAGCAGCACGGAGAGCTCTGAAGCTGCAGACAGCCTTTGAGAAGCATGGGTAATGTCATGATGGGACACGTATGACGTATGTTCCCACTATGAGAGGTCCCCACCATTACAGGTGTAGAGAACCTTGTCGGGGTTCTGTGCGCCAAGTCTGTCTGGCCGAGACGCTACTTCTCTCTCCACATTTAGACTGCGGATACGGACAGTTCCATATTGTTACATTTCAATCATTGAACCGATCTTCTGGCTCCTTGGATAAGGTCTGGTTTGCAGTATGTAGACATTTTTCTATCGGAGCAGTGCTAACTTTCATCCTGTTGCATCCATGATCTTTTCCGCAGTGTCTGTATTTAAGGCTTCTCTGTCCATTCCGCTTTTCCGTCTGCTTCGGTAGCAAGGTTCAAGGAGTCAGAATTTTGTCTTGTTGATTTTTAAGTAGAAAATAAATACATTTATGCTCTAAATTTCCTTAATCATTGCATAGGCAGCCTTTTACATATTGGTATGTTTCTTCTCCCCAAGAGTTTCCTGTTTAACATCCAGAGGTTTGGTTTCCAATTGTATGCATGACATTAGCTTCCTGAGGCATTTCCTGTGTATTTGGTACCTTATCAATTATACAGTAATTAACTCAGCACTTGATTAAGGATCCTTATTGCTAGGCTACCCCTTGTGGCTCGGCCAGTTTTTACAGTTTATATTTAAATTCATTGTGTAAATAATCAAGACTTTTGCCCCGGGTCATGCCATGAAATACAAGGGAAACCCAAAATACAATGAACATTTTATTTAAAAAATCTAACTCACCACTTGGTAAAGGTCACCAAGTGTTTATTTCACAGGAAATAAATGCCCTGGGATTAGAAAGACATTATGCATAAAAAATATTTAGCCTTCAGAAACCAGTGTTCGATAGCTGATTCTGAATGCCCAGAAATGGGGTTGATGAAATGTTTCAACCTGTGTTAATGCCAGCACAGAGACGGAGCACAAAAGGACAGCACTGGCTGCTCACCACTCTGTCCTGCAAGGGGACCAGACATTAAAAACATCTTTAAAGTGGAATGAAGAGGCGATTAACTAACTTTTCTTAAAAATGGCCTGGCCACAGGACGGAGTCTGTAAACACAGGGAGTTTCCCCTATCCAATACAGCATTGTTTAAGAGTTTGTCTTTTAAAGGCAGTTGAATCAGGAAAGTCCTTGGTGGAATCAGTGCCTTAGCTTGGTCCCAAATGTGTCCCTGCTACTGGTCTCCAGAGTTCACGCCTTTGGTGGCCAATGCTCTTTAAGATTACCCCTAACACTGCCAAATGCAGGATTAAAGATAAGGGGTCAGCAGTTTACATTTTTATGTCACCAAAGCCACATGGCCATTTTTTCCACCACTTAAAAATCTTGATAAAACAACAGATTGATGAATAAAATCTTTTTTAAAAAAAGAAAAGGTGCAATGTCTCACTGATGGCCAATAGACTTAGGTCTCCAAAGAAGTTGCTGCCGCCGCCGTATTCCCTTTGTCCTGGAAAGGGGACAATGCCTCCTTCAGGCCACCTCATTCCTTGCTTTTCTTCTGCACAGACTCACCCTTCCTCAGAGGGACTGTTTGTCGATGACTTGATGGAAGCAGGATTGTCACCAAGGTCCACACTGACACAGACTCTTTAGGTGGTTCATTTGTGTTTCCTAACTGGCTCCTTTCTTCTCCCATTCCTGCAGTACCAAACGTAAGCACCCAATAAAGAAAGTTAGCCTCTGTAGCCACCCTTATATATGTAGAAAAGGTAAGAAAACTATAAGTGCAAAAGCAGTTACAAGAACAGCTAGCCTCATCTCTGCGTGGGCAGCTCTGGAGAGTTTGTGGCTGTGGGTCACGCAAATGCTGTGATTGATTACTGATGCCTGCATGGTAAGGGGGCGGAGCTCATTCAATTAGATGGATTTAATAGTTCACCATTGGTGTGGGTGTCTATCTCACCAAGTACACAGGACAGGAACAAGGAGCACGCTGGGTTCGTCAAAGCCAAGGCAGCTCTAAGCACGCTTCTTCTTATACACATGAGTTAAGAATAATGCTTCTTGCTTAGTCCTTGGGCAAGAAGCCATGACATGGGATCTTGAGCCTTTTATCGCTAGCCTCTTTGGTTTTGATGGTAGACACCCTTTGGATTAAAAGCATTTCAGTTGCAGCCTGCCCTGGAATCTACTCCTGAGTGGAGGGGATGGCCCCAGGCTCATTGGGAGAACACTCGAATTAAGTACCTCACTGGTTAATCAGTGCCAAAGACTGAGCCATGGCGTTTTTTTTCTGAGAGCACACCTCTCATGCAGAACTAATGCCAAAAGCCCATGCAGTGTTCCATCTCCTGCCAAGAGGCCCTGGGGGCAGGCATGGGGGCAGGACTCACCTTGGCTTTCTGTAGGACGGTGCCTTTGCCTGTGACCATGATGGAAAGAGGCCTGTTCTTGAGCACGGAGGCAGAGTTGACTGGGGTAGAGTCTGGGGTCTGGGTGGGGGTGGGGGCGGCAGCTTTGGGTTGTGCCTGAGGAGGAGAACAAGGGCTGGGTCAATAGGTTTACATACAAAAAGCCCGTCTCTCCCACCTGTGTGCAGGAGCCCCGCATACAGCTCAGAGGAGCCGCAGTGCCCGGCACTCACGCGAGGGCTCATGTTGTCCAGGTGGGTGGTATCCACAGCTGTGCCCAGTGTCACGGGTCCAGCCTCGGCCTTCTTCAGGTTGTCCTTCACCTCCATGATGTTGAGCTCAAGGTCCACAAGCCTGCTCTCCTCGATCCGGCACTCCTCATCCACTCTCTTCAGCTTCTGCTCCAGGTTGGCCAGGACTCCCTTATCTGCAGAGAGAATGAAACTTGCTGCAGAAGCCAGTATTTCAGCCAAGGCCGGGGAGCCACGCTGCACAGAGGCAGGGTTTGCATGCACCCCTTCATGTGGACCACATGTCTGCATGGAACACAGAAAGGTGGGAATGGGCCTTTCAGTGGGCAGTGAACAGCCTTCTAGCTGGGATCTGAGTTATCGGTTCTCACAGGCTGGAGGGCAGAGGGGGAGCTCTGTTCCCACAAGCAAACCTGAATCTGAGCCCAACTCCATGCTGGTGATCCTCACACTCAGTTCTGGCCTGAAGCAACTTTTCCAATGGCCCTTGGAGGGCAACTGGGACATTCTGCCCTGGCCCATACTGTTGCCTCTATCCCCTGGTGCTTGCAGCTTCCCAAGGCCAGACTGGTCCCCAACCTTGGGATCCCCTTGTCCTGGAGTTAAATGATTACCTGCTAGAGCAAGTTGAGAGCGTCACTTATGTTCAGCCCAGGGCTCCAGCACCACTTAACAACCACGAGAAACCTGCCCCGCTATTCTTAAGCTTTATGAGCAGCCCTGGGTGGATGGCATGGCAAACAGTAACAGAAGCTCCGTATTAGAAAAATACAGAGGAAAATTAGCTAGTGTTCGTGATGGGTGGCATTCTGAATTTGCACATAGATATCATTTATAGCCAACATCAATGCTTTGAAATCACTTTCTTATCTGTGACTACGAGATCAAAGAGTTTATTTGCCAGGAGAATAAACAATAGATGTGTCTTTTCCCTATCTGGAATAGCTATGTCAGAGAGCCAGGGAAGCCTAGACCCCTCCCTTCACAGCCCAGCTCGCTGTATTTAGGGGGTTTCAAGGACTGCTATGGGTGAGCCTCTGTCACCTCATGTCCCAGCCTTCCACTGTGAGCTGCTGATATACATGAGACTGGATCTCGGTCACTAATTTGACCAGATTGAGTGACACCCAGGAGAGCAGTAAAGCATGCCTGTGATGTCTGTGGGGTCGTTCCCAGAGCTGAGCTCCCGAGGGCTTTTAACCAAGCAGTGGTTGAATCTGGTGGTAGATGGGAGGATGGTAGACCTGTGGGAGGAGGAGCCTTGTTTGGGACAGTAGGTTCTCAGGACATGACTCTGAGAGCTGTCTTTTGACTCTGCTCTACCAGAGCTCCTTCAGCCTCTAAGTTGTTTCAGATATTACATCACAGCAATAAAAACCCGCCACAGGATATCTAAGAGTGCAAATCCCTAGAAACAAAAGGTCTCACTGAGATGGAAGGAAACAAAGTATCTGCTTACAGATTCAGGCTTTCTTTGGGGCTGGTGAGCTGCTGTGGTCTGAATGAGGATGGCACCCACTGGTTCATACACTGAATGTTTGGTCCCCAGCAGGGGGAAACTGATTATCAAAGCATTAGGAGGTGTGGCCTTGCTGGAGGGGGTGTGTCACTTTCAAAAACCCATGCCATTCCTGGTTAGCGCTCTCTCAACCGTGTGGTCCTTACGTGTGAGCTACTGATCCAGTGCCATGCCTGCATGCTGTCCTAAGTCCCACCATGACAGTCATGGGCTCAACCCCTCTGGAACCATGAGCCCCACAATACATGCTTTCTTTTATAAGCTGCTGCCATGGCAATGGGAAAGTCACCAATATGGCTGCTAACTGAAGCGCTCTTTTGTGTACTTTAAATGGGGTCACCGCTGGACAAGTGGGTTCTGTCTTGACAACTGAAAAGCAGAGCGACTGTCCCCAAGACCTTCCTTCAGCTATCATGCCGCAAGCTTCCCAGGAACTGCTGAGGGCTGCAGACCCCGGCCCCTTGGCTTTCTTTGCCTGCCTCAGCCCTTTGCCTGCACCTGTGCCTGCAGCTGCTCTGAGCACGAGACCCTGATGGCAGGGGAGTGGGTTCTGGTGGGCCTGTGACTGAAATATCCTGAGAGCTGGGGTGTGGCCAGAGCCCTATAAGCTGCCGCTGAGCACAATAAAGTTGGCATTCTTGTATCGAGGAGTCCCCATGTCTCTGTGTGCATGTTTTTAAGTCTCCAACCTAGTTCCCAGCTGGCATATCCCACCATACCCCAGGGTAGTGCAGGCACTACAAGGAACCTGTCATATTTGTCCCCAAACCTGCTAAGCCAGTTGTGCTTAGAACCTGGCTAGCACAACTCTGTGATTTAAATATCCAGTGAGATCCAGGTCAAGTAACTCAAAGGCCTCAGAGGTGGGTTGCTAGGAAACCTCCCTTGGATGATGTGAGACCTCGGAGAATCACCTAGAAGGCCTCAGAATTCTTTGAGTGTCTTGATTTTATGCACTTAAAACAGCAGCCTGGAGATTATAGTGCACTGCAGGTGTGGTTAACGTAAGGATGACTTCGGACATCAGGTCTCAAACCCAGGTGCAGATCCATCCTGGGAACAGCCTAACTACCTGCTGGTGCTGTGGACCCTGGTCCGGGGATCTGGGCAGAGACTGCCTCAGACAGAACCAGCGGCCTTTCCAAGAGTGAGGCGACTGGGGGGGGGGGTCCAGAAGTCAGACGGACAAATCCCGGTCCTTCCCTCTCAAAGCCCGTGTTCCACCCTGGCCCTCAACCCAGAGCTCCTACCTGTGCACCTCAGCAGCATCTCTTTGAGTTCCCGCTTGTCTCTGCGGAGCTGAGCCAGGTGCCCCCGGATCTCCTCCTTCTTCCTCTCCAGCCTCTCCTTCTCCTCCGTGTACCGCTTCACCTCGGCCTCGGTCCGGTTCTTCCCAAGTTTGATCTCTACAGACCCAGAGAGGGAAAGGCTGGTACCAGCAGGAATGGCTGAGGGCTGGACCTAAGCTCACTTCCTAGACTTAGAACCTAGGGCGTGGCAGAACACCCCTGCTGAGCCAGCCCAGCAGGGATGGGGTTGGTCCCTCAGTTTTATTTTCCTGTGTTCTGGGGCAGGTTCCTTCACCTCTTTTAACCTGTCTCCTCACACAAAAGAGAGGGACTCAGACTAACTTCATTTTAGACTAATGTCCTGACTAAAAGTCTGAGCCTGGTCCATGTACCTGCACTGGTCACCCTCAGCTTGTCCTTCACAGGCGGGCTGGCACTGGTGGGGGCAGAAACCACGGTGTCCGGGCAGTTGCCTGGGAAGGAGATTCTCTGCTGCTCGGCCTGCAGTTTGACTGTGGGGATTCTCAAGGCAGGCTCCAAGGGTTCCGAGGACTCCTGACTCTCCAGCGGCCTCTGTACCAGGAGAAATCACACTCCATGACCATAGGGCATGGCGAGGTGGCTGGGCACCTAGAGGTGGAGGGGCTTGTACCTGCTGCTCCTCCAGGCTTTCTGGAGACCCTGTGTGGGGCTCGTCTGGGGCGAGGCCAGGGTCTGGGTCTACTGTGAGGGTCTCAGCTAGATCGTCCAACTGTGGCAATGCTGGGAGCGAGGCCTCTGCCTGTCCCTCACTGGGGCCGTGCAGGAAGGATTTGACAGGAGTGAGATCCAGGTACACTCGGTCGAGCTCACTCTCACTGCTAGCGTCTACAGCAGGGGCAGCCTCCTCAGCAGGCTCTACCTATGGGAAAAAGTCAGGTAGTGTTTTATTGCTTCATTCCCTTGGCTGTAGGGGACCTGGTCTGGGGTCTCCTGTCCCCTCCCATGCTGGAGTTTCTGGGTAGCCCCTTCCCTTCCGAGGGAACCCTCTGTGGAGTCCTAGGTGGGATGGCAGAGTCCAGAAGCAGAAGACCCCGGACGCAGCACTCTGTAAAGGAGAAAGTATCAAGGTCTTTCTATGAGGCTGGGGGGGGGGGCGCAGGATTGAGGGAGGCGAAGCTGCCAACCACTCTGCTTCGTTCCAGAAACAGGCCCCTGCCGCTGGCATGCTCAGCCCGCCTCAGTTACCGATGTGGCCCTTGAAGGCTAATGGTGTCACCGCTCCTATCCCGCACCGCCATCGACTCTACTTCAGCACTGACCAGAGCGAATAACCGGGTGTTTAATCTAGATAGGTCTCCAGGTTAGACCCACAACCCCTTGCACAAAAGATGAGGGGTCTGCGTTGGTGGCCCTTTGGTGACCTGGGGGCTGCTCATCTTGGGGACAATCTGACCCTCTGTGACAGAGTTTTGGCAGAAGGACCCGACAGTCCATGCCACCACCACCCAAGTGCTTACCACCGTCATTGACTCCGACATGACGTCATCGTACAGCTCCTCTGGGCAGTCCCGACTGGGCAGGCCGTCAATGTATGTGTTGGGTTCTGAGAACTTTCTCTGCATCAGTCTGGAAGACATATATGGGTACATGAAGCTTCCAGGACCCTGCAGGATCCCACCAGCATCAAAGAATGCAAACAAAAGCCCCTGGCTACACAGAGCTCTGAGTTAAGTTGTTCCCCCACCCCCAAGAGTCCTCTTCTAGCTGTTGTTCCAGAACTCCAAGTCCCTCCTCAGATGCCTACGGTCATCTTCTTCTGGCCCTTCCCTTTTATACGTTCATCCTAGCACCAGCCACAAGATCTCAGCACATCTCATTTGTGCACTTGGGGCAGCTCAGACAAAATGCCTCTCCGTTTTGTATGTTAGGGAACAAGCCTGTTCCAGTGGCCAACCTGGCTTCTGTTAATATTGACCAAGATACACCTTCCTGAGCCCGTAGGCCCTCGTGTAAAACAGAAGTGCCTGCCTCGCCCTGCATATCCCAGAATGCACTGCAGACCCAGTGAAGAGTCCAGAGGAAGGGAAAAGGGTGTCAGGGAAGTCACCTAATCTGTCTTTGGGAGCTGGAGAGTGTCTAAACAGGGCTGTGTCACGCAGCTCCTCTGTGGTTAGTTCTCATCTGGGTCTCTGGGCATGCAGCTCCCCTGTGGCTAGCTCTCATTTGGGTCTCCCTGGGCTTCCTTCTTTGTACCTCCCTATGCAGGACCAAGCAGGACCCATCTGACTCTGCGCTCTCAGTGGCCACACTGCCCCAGCTGCCCACCAGGTCTAGAAGCAAGGCTGGACAGGAAGACGTGCAAGGAAAGGCCTCTTCTTACTCACAAGAGAGAGGTTTTGGCCGCACTCACAATACAGGAAACCCTTTCTGCGTCCACATAGTCATAGGTGAACTCCTCTGGGTCTGTCTTGGAGCCTGATTCTGAGAGCAGGAGGCCTAGCCAGTGGCCCATCTCCTCTGAGGACTTGGCCTAGAAGAACACTGAGAGTCATGACTGCCGTCCTAGCCAGTCCCACCCCTAGGCCAGAACAGCTCACTCCCATCCCTACCAACAAGCACAAAACAGCCTGTGTAGGGCACCCCAGTTTTACCAGCACACTGTATCCCCAAGTGAACCCAAAGAGCATTTCCTGGTAGTGAGTGCCACAGTGCTACCCAGTGACATCCCAGACATCAGTGGGGAGCACCGCGTGTAATCTCTAGACACGTGTTTCTAGATGCCAATACTACATTCCGGGGTAAGACCATGAAAGATAATCAAGAGTTGTCATCTGCTAGTCGTTGCTAAAATCCTTGGTTATGGAATGACTGTACACATTGTAGGTTGACCCTTTACTTCATGGGCAGTCACTGTCCCTTTTATTGTCTTAACCCATGCTTGCAAGAAGGAGACACTTCCTAAGAAATAACAACATTCAGTTTTGTTTTGGTTTATGACATTAATAATGTCAAGGAATGAAAAATAACCTAATCCAAGAGACATATTAATTTACCAACTCAACCCCAGCCAGTCTGCTGTGTGTCCTTCTAGGGGACAACACTTGCTAATCAACTGCAGACAGGGACATTTCTATTCAAATGTCAGTATTGTTTCTATAAAAGCCACAGGCTACCTCTCTGGCATCATGCCACATGTCCCACCACCCCTCTAGAGACGGAGTTAGAACCCAAGCTTGAACTTTGGTTGGTGTGATGTTCACTGTCTGTTGAGTGGATATGGAAGGACCCATGAGACGCACTTCTGGGCATGTGTGTGAGGAAGTGCCACAAGGTTTAAATGAAGGGGGAAACACCCTGCACATGGATAGCACATTCATGGACTGGGGTCCAGCACTGGATAAAAAGGAGATGCAGCTGAGCGCCAGCATTCGCCTGTCTCCTGGCTGTGGATGCTGTGACCAGTCACTTCACACCTCTGCTGTCATGCTGCCCGCAGGACGCCATGAGTCAAATCAGTTTCTCCTCTAAATTTTCCATTAGCATTTGTTCACAGCCACAAGGAAAGGAAGACAATTAGTTTCTTTCCCATTTATTTCCTGTTGGATTTCTCAATACTGCCTTTTAAAGGTATCTCCTAGGTCACCGTCCCCACACTGGCAGGTGCAGAGACTTCCTGGTGGTCTAGGGCACTGTCCACACACTGGCAGGTGCAGAGACTTCCTGGTGGTCTAGGGCACTGTCCACACACTGGCGGGTACAGAGACTTTCTGGTGGTCTAGGTCACTATCCCCACACTGGCAGGTGCAGAGACTTCCTGGTGGTCTAGGGCACTGTCCCCACACTGGCGGGTACAGAGACTTCCTGGGGGTCTAGGTCACAGGTCACTGTCCCCACACTGGGCAGGTGCAGTGACTTCCTTGTGGTCTAGGTCACAGGTCACTGTTCCCACACTGGGTAGGTGTAGTGACTTTCTGGTGGTCTAGGTCACTATCCCCACACTGGCAGGTACAGAGACTTCCTGGGGGTCTAGGTCACAGGTCACTGTCCCCACACTGGGCAGGTCAGCAGCTTCCTGGTGGTCTTATTTTTGTCACTTCTTGTCCCTTTTCCATCTACACATCCCCCAAACAGTAGGTTCTTAACATCAATTTGGATCATGTCATCTCTTCTGAACCCCTCCAAGGGCTTCCAAGCTCTTAGGATACAAGCTCTATTCTTTCCCCAGCCTCGTGCTATGTCAAGCGAACATTCAATGAAGCTATTATCCTTCCTTTAATCATAACTAGACAACTAACTGTGTAATTATCCAAATGTCCCCACACTACCAAACGAGAAAATAAGTTCTGAGGCCAGAGGCCAGTTTTGTGTCATCCACGGAGGCTAGTGGGTAAACGAGCGGGTGAAGGTGTCTCTGTGCAGCCGGGTTGGTGTAGACGTTTCAGCCACCAGAGGGCAGCATTGAAGCAGATTTTGAAAGACCCCTGGCTCAAGGGCTAAGCGGATGGGAGTTAATGGGCAAGTGCTTACTTGTGAGCAAGAAACTTGGCCCCGCCTGCGGGCTCCTTGCGAGCTTGCATTATGTCATCTCTTGTTTTTGTAGCTGTACCAGGGCAGGAACCCAAGGGCAGGGAGAGACCAAAGTGTAACTGTATCACAGAGCAAAGTCCTGATCCCAGATAAATCCCGACAGCCCTTGTTTTTGTGTACCTCTGGGTTCTGGTTGGCGTTTCATTTGTATTTTAATAAATAAAGCTTGCCTTAGGATCAAAATAGTAAAACAGCCACACTTCCAGCCTTACAGACCAGGCAGCAGTAACACACACCTTTAATCCCAGTGGCCTCAGTAGCTTGCCATAGAAGCCAGGTGGTGCATGCCCTTAATTACAGAACTAGAGAGGATTACAAAACAGGAGGAGACGGCCCTCAGTCTCCGTCCCATTCTGAGATTCTTGGAGGCAGGATCGCCATTTCAGACTGAGGTAGAGGCAAGAGCCAGTGATTCGCTGTTTTGCTTTTCTGACCTTTAGGTAGAATCCCAATTTCTGTCTGAGTTCTTATTAATCGTGCTATAGGCATGCAAAGTAAACATCACTCCTTTGACTGTCAGAAGCCTCTCTGGCATCTGTAGGAGCTAAAAGTACCCCCTCATTGCCCTAAGTGCAGGAAGCCGCCCATGGTCCCAACCCTGTAGCAAAGCCACCTACCCTGAGGTCTGAACAAGAATGGACATTTAAAAAATGCAAACAACGGCAGGTATGGAGGTAAATATAACATGAAGCCACACTGATTCTGTCTCAGTGGGATCACGATCCTCAGTGCGCCCGCTGACAGCTGAGACTGCCCACCCTTGGCTGTCCTTCCTGCCGGCCCCACACCCAGTGTACCTCAAGCTTGGCCAGCTCCTCGCCGTTGTGGAGGATGCGGAAGGAGTACAAGTGGTCGGGGCAGGGGTCTGGAACCACTTCACAGCCCACCAAACTGAGGGGCTGCTGGGCAGCCTTGTTCCGGTTCCGGTCCTGGTAGAAGTGCAGGTGGCTGTCTCTAACGAAGCACCAACGTGACTTCCACTGGCTGTTGACCAGTACATTTAGGTAGCCTGCAGGAGGAGACGTAGATGATAGGAGGATGAGGCCGCCGGAGGGGACACAGTGAAAGAGGACAAGTCCTCCAGCAAGGGCTGTGGCTGCAAGGGTGGTGTGGGAGGTCCTTCTGTCTATGGGTTGCTTTTAATGAATAAAGAAACTGCCGTGGCCTGTTGATAGGGCAGAACTTAGGTAGGCAGAGAAAACTGGACTGCATGCTGGGAGAAGGAAGGTGGAAAGAGAGATGCCATGGAGCCACCAGAGACAGACACTGGGAATTTTACCCGGTAAGCCACTGTCATGTGGCGATATACAGATTAATAGAGATGGGTTAATTAATATGTAAGAGTTAGCTTGTAAGAAGCTAGAGCTAATGGGCCAAGTAGTGATTTAAATAATACAGTTTCTGTGTGGTTATTTTGGTTCTGGGTGGCTGGGACGAATAAGCAGCCTCCTTCCAACACAGGGGGATCTAGAAAAACCACAGTGTCTAGGGAAAGGCACTGTCATCAGGCCTCTTTGAAGGTCACCAGTCTCAGAACCTGTCGTGTCATCCTTGAGGCTGTGAATCTCAGACTACCTTGTTTTCTTCCTTTGGGTAACTAGGCCTACAGAGGCAAGGCAATACAGCTAGCTTTGTTCTTGGCACAAGTATGGCCAGAGGAATGTGAGATTTGTCCTCCATAGTAGGACTGGTGAGTACCTGTGGAGGATGAAGGCTCCCCCACAAGAACTCATCTCCAGGGGTCTGTGTTTCAGCAGGAAAACCTACTTCCCGTACTCAAGCCAAACCTCCTTGGTTGCAGAGTCTGCTGTTGCCTCTGTCTTCCCAGCTTCCCGGATATGTGCTCCAGACTCAGCCCACAGTGTCTGGCCGTTCTCTTTCCTCCTGAGCAGGTGCGTCCACTCTTCTTTAGCCCTGACTCAGTCTACCTTCAGTTAGAAAGTCTAACGTCTAGTGCAGCAAAATTCAGCTTCCATGCTGACCTCCGCTGGGCACATGTGCCTCTCCAGGAACTGCAGCAGTTCCTCTGCAGAACCCATGTCTGCAGCCTGCAGCCTTCTGACCAGGGACCCTGCTCCCCTGTAGTGCATAGAAGCTACCAGAAGCAGGGTGCACCTAGGATACCATCCTTTCTCACTCATGGATGGTTGGTTGCATGTATGCATTCAGCTTCTCAGGAGAGACCAGGCCTTCCCCCTTCCATTCGAAGGTTTATTGAGTGCTATCACACACCAGCAAAGCCTTGTCCCCGAGGCAACAAAGATGAGGAAACCCTGGCTTCTAGGCCTCTACACACCTGTATGTCACAGGCTGCCTTCTCACTGAGCCTCACCTCAAATGCACAGGCTTATGAAATGATAGGTCTTCTGCAGTCTTAGTGATTGGCAGCTGCTCTGGGCCCTAGCCAGATAAGTAGGCAGGAGAAGATGGCAGACAGCCATCTTCTGGCCCCACCCACAGTTGGTCATGTGGCGGGTAGTGGGGATCATGTCTATCTCTACACCACAACGTGGAAGATAGAGAAACTAAAACCTGAACTCTAAACAGAGGCTGCTGTGGCCATCATGGCTCTTCTAAACAATAAGAATTTACACCAAGTGAAGCCACAGGTTAGTCCCCGAGCCACCTGTGTCCTCACCACCATGTCCCAGCCATAGGAAGAACACGAAACAGCTGCAGAAATAATCTGGTCACATCTCAGACAGTGATGCTCTGGGACCAGGCTCCCAGGATGCGCAGTGACAGGCAGAACCAGGCCACTCCCCAACCAGGGAAGCCGAGGCTCCAGAGTGAGAGCCTTGTTTTTCATTTGCTGCCTTCAAAGCCTCAAGCAACAAAAGAGAACTGGGGTCTCACGAACAAGCTCAGGAGTGGGTCAGAGAAAATGACCCAGAGGCGAGCGGTAATGGCCTCTAAGCCACAGAGAGGGCTGCAGCCAGAAACCCCAGCCTGGGAAATAAGGTATTTCACACCAGGATAATTTTTAGGCCTGGCCTGTCTCCCTCCTGACCTCAGTTTCTCCAAGCATGAGTGAGAGAAGGAGAGAGAACCTGGAGGAACCTGGCAGTGCCCACACCTGCCCTCTGAGCCTGCCACTGGGCCTTCACCAACAGATCTCATCTGTCCCTATCACAGAGGGTTTTCTCTAGTTCTCAGGCAGTTCAACCTACTTAACTCCCACCCACCCTCCAAGGGCAGGTCCATGAAGCCATCCCTGGTCACAGGGCATGAATCCTGGTGACTATGAAGATGGTCCCGTGTGTGTTCAAGTAAAGAACACTTGCCTGCCACAGCACAGAGAAAACAAACAGTATGCTCAAGGGAACACCGAGATGGCACCAACCACCTTCCCCTCACTTCCCCAAAGACCCAACACTGCAGCAGGTCGGAACCTGGTGAAGCATAAAGAAGAACCCACAGGGAAGACGAACCCAAACCCCAGCTTTGTGTGCTCTCCAGCAAGCCCCAGAATCCTCTGCCTTCTCTGTTTGGGCTCGCCTTCTAAGACAAGCACCACCACAGGGAAGAAGCCCAGGGTCCTGGTGGTCACCATGGGTCTTACTTGATGTCTCGAGGCATCTCTCTGGGGGCTCCAGCGAGGTGGACTTCTTCCTGCCCAGGTTCATCAGGTTGCTCAGTTTGAGGCCAGCAGAACACTTCTTCTTGACTATCATGACCAGAGAGAAAGCTGTCAGTGATGGGCACAGCCTACCCACACGCAAATCTTCCCTTCTCATCCCACCTAGCCTATACACACTCGTGCGCACACACATGCACGGGTGGTCATGCACACAGACATCTTCCCCACATGAGAATTGACAGGCCAAGTCAGCTATTCCCAAAGTCATGCATGCATGGGGATAACAAGCGTCTCGGTGTAGGTGAACCCTGGGAATCTTTACAGACGGCGTGGCCTCAAAGACATCTCAAATAGGACTGGAAAACAGAGCTGGAGGAGGTTCTCACTCCCCCAGGCTGTGGCAAAACTTAACTTTGTTTTTTGGCCCTCTCTCCTTTCATTCTTTTGGAAACTAGGGTTGAGCCGGACAGTCAGGTCTCACACCCGGACGACCATTGCCCTCTCACCCATGAGGTAGAGAGCCATAGCCTGCTTACCGTCTTTGGTCTCTGGGACCTCAGGGTGGCCATCAATGGAGCTCCCATACTCCGAAGCTGGTAGGTATTTCTCAGCTATATCTGGCTGTGGACAACAAAGAGATGGACGGGGGTCACCCACTGGGAACCGAGGACTGGAAAACTAAAATTTCAAGGGAAATAGATGGCCCTTGTGAGACCGTGCAACCAAACCCCTTCCAGCCAGCACTGACATCACCGGTAGGACATTGGCCAAGCTGCCTTTGGGGCTCTCTGGAGTATCTATTATCACCCTCCTTCCTAAGAACCACATTCCACCATCCTCAGGGTACCTTCCCTGCCATCCTGTTTGCGAGTGCTCCAAATACCTGTGGACCTGATTGGACAGTGGGCCCATGGCCAGCAGGAAGCTGGGCCTGCAGGGAGGAGCGCCATCCTCAAGCAGGGGAAGGGAACCCAAACTCATTCCTGTTGGCAGTCAAACAATGAGTGAGACCCCAAAGACACCCCTTGCTGAACTGTAGGGCTTTCCATGTGGCCTTCAGCCTTTCAGAGAATAAAGCGCCTCCCCCTCCTGTCTTCCTTCTTCTCCTTGCTGAAGTGTTATGTGTACCCTCTTGTTTCCTGCCCTGCCAGAGCTAGGGACACAAGCTGAGACAACCGCACTCCTGTGACTGTTGTGTGCCTCCTGCCTTTTGACATTTAGGAATAGGAAGATTTACCCACAGCTGGTTCCACTTAGTCCAGCTTCCTTGATCCTTAAAACCAAAGTTCCCCAGAGCGCTGTGCCAGGCGGCCCTGGAGCCCTTGGCTGGGTCCACATAGGGATGACTCCACCTGGAGGCAAGGGGCTGGTGGGCGGGCAGCCTCAGGCTTGCACAATAAGTCTCCAGCTTATTATTAGAATATAGACTAACTCACAAAAGCCAAATTGCAAGATCAGCCTAGATTCCATCCACAGATGTTTAAAGGGAGTGTGGCCCATAAACACCATGGAGTTTTAGTCAGCCATGAAGAAGAATACAATTGTGTCACTTACATAAGAAAATGAATACAGTTGGAGATTGGAGAAAAATAATCATACTCAGACTAACACTGCATGGGCCCCTCAGTTCTGTATAGATACATAAAATAATTTATACATGCCATGGGAATGGCAGCAGCGCTGTGGGGGCAGGGGAGCCAGGGGGACAAGCGGATGGAGATGCCTGACGCACTTGTATGAACATGTCATCTGAAACCCATCCCTGTGTGCAATGAGCTTCGTTCATAAAAAAGGACATGGAGCAAAGCGATTTTTGTTTCAATAGCATTTCCCCTCAACAGGACAACAGTGAGGTCTCCATGCGTTTCACCCGCTTTCCCGCCAAGCCCCCTTCCTGCTCTCTCTCACCCAAGCATTGTGTGTTTCTTATTAATTGGGCTGTAGTACAAGAACGAAAAACGAGGCTTTCCATTTTAACTCTGAATTTTTACTAAGGCGGCACAGAATCAGACCTTCCCTCTGGGCGGGGCGGAGCCTTACTTTCTGACAGTTCAAGCGCTGGGCATCCGGTGTGTACTGGTTTCCCTCCGCAGCTCCTTCGTAAGGCAGGCCACTCACTTCCTGGATGACCTGGATTGGAGAAGCACCGTGATGGTCATGGCCCTTGCATGGCCCTGCTGCCTGGCCCTCGGGCAGGGTGCTGAGAGAAAGAACCTCTGAGAACAGAAGTACCCCACCCGTGCCCTGACTGCAGCCCCCAAGTGTTCCGAGGACACAGTTGTCCACTCATACATTTCCCGCAGGGACCCCCTGATCTGGGGTGCAGGTACCTCTGCATCCCTGGACACTATGATCCCCCGACTGCCACCTGAGGGCAAGGGCTCCGTCCTGTTGTGTCACGAGTTGTAAGTGTATACTTGTTGGTGCTTCCCTGACTTTCTAGGTCTGTGGTCTCCACACTGTTTGGAAGCAGGCTTGGTTACTGCTTTGATCTGATAGAAACTCCTTGGCCACCAGCCATGGACCACATCAACTGGTACTTGGTGCCCAGCCTGTGGACACGCAGGTCAGAGATGGCCCTGACCTCACTAAGCAGTTCTGCATCCTCCTTCTGAGCCCAGGACCACCTGGGAGATTCCCAGAGGAGTAAAACAGTGAAGAAGACAGATGTGTGCATGCACAGGTGTGCACACCCACACCCACACACCCCTTACAGTAACCCTTTGGAAGCAGTGAGAGCAATTTCAAGGACCCTCCATTTTCAATCTCTGCCTACAGCAGTCTGTGGGAGTGAGTTTGAAATTAGAGGAGGCAAAGAATTGGAAGCAGGGCTCTGGATGGGGACACAAGGGTTTCTCATGTCCCAGCCTGTCTCCAACTAGGAGCTCAGATCCATGAAGGAAATGCAGTCTTTCCTAGGAGGAAGGCAGGTCCTGGAATCAGCAGCCTTGTCATGTGACCCCAGCATAGCCTCAGTCACTGTTTCAGCAACATTAGACAACGTAGCTGGGAGGACTCAGTGTGAAGTACCACGTACAGGTTAGGTGCTGTGCCATCACTCCTGTCCTTGTTAGCTTAGACCAGGATACACGGAGGCCCTGCTTGGGAAGGGAGCTGACCAGGCCTGCAGCCAGGCTACCTCTGCACTCATCTTCAGAGAGGAGAGGGTTTCTCTGTGCATCTCAGACACAGAGCTGGTGTCGTCTGCACAGTGCTCTTGTCTTTAAAGCCTCCAGCAAGAGCTGTAGGACCAGGCCGAGAGGAAGAGTGTCCGGGGAAGGATAGGCAGGGCTGAGCAGACAGAGGAATAGTCCTGGGAACTAAACATAGGAGCAGTGCACCTGTGCATATTCCTGTACATGGACATGCTCATAAACATGTGTGCAGTGTCCGTGTATACTAGGGTGTATGTGTGCACCTGAGGGAGTACCTGTGTGGACTTACAAGGATGAGGATGGGCAGGACTTCCAGAAACCGAAAAGGAGAGCTGGGCTAGAGAAAGAAGTCCAACTAGCAACTCAGCCCTGGGTCCCAGGAACACCACAGAGCCAGCCCAGCCCCTTGCATTCTCTGGGCTTCATCTGGCCAAGTATCCTGCACTTGGTATACCTTGGACCCAGTGCTGAGCACTTACATGCGGTAAAACACCAGCTTAAGATCACTTCACATGCACGCACACAGACACACACAACACATGTGCTTGTGCGCACACCAGGCTTTACTTTCCAGAGTCAAATCATCACTCAGGAATCTTCCATATCCTCCAGCCTGCACACACGTCTATACAGCGGCCACTCTGTTCCACACGACTGTCTACAAGCACCTGAAACTCCTTCAAGGAGGACTGAAGCGCATGTCATTCCCTCCTAGGAGACTGGCCTGGCCAGACTTCTCAGAACATTTAGTGGTTTTCACCAAAACAACATGTCAGCTGGGCAGTGCTAGTGCACCCCTTTAATCCCAGCACTCTGGGAGCAGAGGCAGGCGGATCTCTGTGAGTTAGAGACCAGCCTGGTCTACAGAGCTAGTTCAGAACAGCCAAGGCTACACAAAGAAACCCTGTCTTGGAAAAAAACAAAAACAAAAACAAAATAAAAACAAAACATCAACAAAATAGAAACAAAAACATCTTGTCAGCTTCAAACCTGGGTACTCAGCACACGGGGTTGCTGATACCTGGGTAGGGGTACTCAGCACACGGGGTTGCTGATACCTGTGTAGGGGTACTCAGCAAACGGGGTTGCCGATACCTGGGTAGGGGTACTCAGCACACGGGGTTGCTGATACCTGGGTAGGGGTACTCAGCACACGGGGTTGCCGATACCTGGGTAGGGGTACTCAGCACACGGGGTTGCCGATACCTGGGTAGGGGTACTCAGCACACGGGGTTGCTGATACCTGGGTGGGGTACTCAGCACACGGGGTTGCTGATACCTGGGTAGGGGTACTCAGCACACGGGGTTGCTGATACCTGGGTAGGTACCTTTTTCAGTCGTATTTTAATGACACACTTCAGGGTCTTTTCTGGCAGGCTCATGGTGATGACTACACTCGGCCAGGAGGGGTGGGGTGGTGAATACAACACCACAAATAGCTAGCATGGGCACGGTGGTGCAACATGTGGCAGGAGGGAGGGGGAAGGTGGTCCCGGCTCTCACTGCGATGACCAGGGGCCCTGCAGGCCTCTGAGACCTTGCTGAACTGTGAGTGTGAGTCTTTCCTGCTTCAAACAGCTTCTGGATCCACCATGCTCAACATCTTTAACTAGGCAGGAAGTCCCTCCCCCAGGTACTTCCTCATCACAGCTAGAATACACAAGGGCAGAGCAGCGAAGACACATCTAAGGGGGCAAGAATCACAATGCTGTGTAGACAGCCCCAAATCCACAGTCCAGCTGCAACTCCTTTACCAGGTGACAGCTACCTCTGCCCTCTGAGCCTTCATCTCCAGTCCCATAAAACAGGCTCATCAAGCCTGCCCAGCCGCACCCACAGCTAAACCTGCCCGAAGCCCACAGTCCATGCGGGTCTTTCACAGAGGCAGCAGACACCCAGAGCCCTTCCTCATGGAGGGATGTGATGCCTCGTCAGAAGGAAGACCGCAAAGAGATCCCAGCTACAGCCATTCCCGGCTTCTAAGGATCCTGTGAGCAGAAGAACTCTGTATCTGGTCCATGACGTTGATCATCAATACCCAGAATGCTAGAAGCCCTGAGCACCTGAGGAATCATAGACCCTGATTATTCTCGACCACATCATCCGCCCCTTCGGAAGAAGCTGGAGCCCAGAACTTCAGGAGCCGTCCACTTGAGCACTGGGGGAAGCAGCTGGCCGCCTAGTGCGTGCTCCTCACCCGAAGCCACTGCTCGGCTTGGTCTTTGCTCTGCAGGCCCAGCACAATCACGTCGGCATTCATCGGCATGATCTTCAGCTTGTGCTCCTTCTTCCGCACGTGTTTCTCCTTGTGCACCACGCTGCTCCCCAGCAAGTTCACGTCCAGCTGAGGGCTGTGATCTTTGGATGATTTGTAGCACTGGAATAAAAAATGAAAAAAGATGCTACTTTCCTGGGGCATGGGGTGGATTCCGCAAAGGAGAGGCCCTTGAACGCTGAAGTGCACTCATCTCCTTCATGAGCCTGACCATGGCCCCAAGCCATAGGGCTGGATGCCCCGAGGCAGGCCCTTGAGCCCCCCCCCCCCCTTCAAGCTTCCTTCTCCCCGATACTGATCAGGGATGCTCCAGGACCTGAATCACCCAGACAGTTCTCCATTGCCCTGGCCTCAGAGAAGGGGTCTCCTCAGGTGTCACTTAGTCTGCTCACAGCAATGTATAATGGCTTCACGAGGTCACTTCCCTTAATGACTGTTGTCTAGCTTATGTAAGAACCTATGATGCTCACACAGTAATGGCCTCACCTGAGGACACATTTCTCAGACTGTCACCCGTGACACGGCATATGACTCTGTCTCCTGTAGACAGAGCTCACTTGTCCACAGTGACAAACTTCAGTGATTTCTGCCTTTCTGCATGCCTTAGCTTCCCCAGAAAAAGATCCATTGAGCATGAAAATCAAACTTACAGTCTGCCTCGCAAGATGCTAGAACTCACAGGAAGGGACCATTACCCTTTACCAGGGAAGGTATGCTGCAATTTATGCTCATTGCAAAATGGAGGTCCTCATAGGACAGCTAGCGAGACCACAGAATAACAAAATGACATCTGGAGTAAACTGGGCATATGTGGCCTGAGGGAAGGTGTTTGTAAAGACCTCGTGAAACTTTAGGTCAGGACACAAAGCTGCCAGCATTTGCTCTGTTTTTGAGGCAGAGTCCTGCTGCGATGCCTAGGCTGGCCTTGAGTTCCGAAACTCAAATCGCAGCTGACCAGCCACACCTAGTTCAGAGCCGTGAGGTTTTTATTTAAACTGTCAGGAAGTGGTTTTATTGTCAGAGTCAAGTCTGGTTCCTCTGCAGGTTTTGGCTTAGAATAGGTGGTGCTAAGTCTTGTAGCTCTTGGGATGGTTCCAACAATCCTCAGGTTGTTCAGACCAAAACAGGAGCTGGGCTGAGGGAGCTGCTCGGTTTGCATGCCATCAGATTAAACGAACCAAGAAGAGAGAGAGAGAGAGAGAGAGAGAGAGAGAGAGAGAGAAGAAGAAGGAGGAGGAGGAGGAGGAGGAGGAGGAGGAGGAGGAGGAGGAGGAAGAAGAAGAAGAAGAAGAAGAAGAAGAAGAAGAAGAAGAAGAAGAAGAAGAAGAAGAAGGAGAAGAAGGAGCAGCAGCAGCAGCAGCAAGGAGACCATTATGGCGGCAAGTGACCGTTATCTTGGTACTGCCTGGAGACTGCATCAAGGGAATGACGAGTTCAAGACCTGCCTCGGTTACATGGTGAGACCCTGCCTCCACCCCCTCCCTAAAATAAGCAGGGTGCAAGTGACAGGGATGCGCAGTCGTCCTACTTTGACAGCTGACTTAAAAACTACTAGACCTTCCTAATGCAGACAAAATACATTCATCTGCACACACAAAACTTTGCACATTGAACGGTGAAACTCTCCTGTTGTCAAATGCTCTACCCCCAATGTCATATCAGAGAGAACCCCCTCTCCCACCCCTCCCATCCCCAGAAAACAAGACGAGGACTGACCAAGAGCCTGGTGTCCCTGATCACACAGAGCTGCTTGGCCCACTGGCCCAGCCACTTCTTGCGCCACAGGAAGGCACAGATGCGGGCGTCACGCATCAGCTCAATGCTGGCCTCGGGCGAGGGCCACTGGTAGGGGGCTGCCTTGCCTTTGCTGTTCTCCTCTTCATCGTAGGACTCATAGGAGCTGCTCACGGCCTCTCCGTCCTCTGCAAGAAAGACCCGCCCAGTCAGTCAGAGCCCAGCCGGGCAAGAGGATTAGCGCATAAGAATCACTCCAGAGAGCAGCAAGCAGGAGCAGCTGGGGACCCCGGGCTACCATCCACCTGGCCCTCTCATCCTTGAAACAGCTCAATGACTTTCCACCCCCACCCACTGGAAGAAACTTCTCAGATGCTGACTCAGACCACAGAGCACATTTCCCTGCCCAAACCCTATCTGCGTGGATCCCTGACAAGCCCGAGGAGCTGCAGCTGCCCTGCCTATGAACCGCGTGCTTGCCCTATGGGCCTCTGGTGCCTTAACCAGTAGGGGTTCCAGGTTCCAGGCTGGGTCTAGCTCTGCTCCAGGTCTGGGAGGGGCCTGTCTCCTCAGAAGGGAAAAAAGAGTAGGAAAGAGGCTGTCTTTCCTCATTTAGGGTATGGTTGTGTACACCTTTAATCTCAACACTGGCGAAGCAAAGGCAGGCAGATGTCTGTGAGTTCCAGGCCATCTTGGTCTACACATTACGGCCCTATCTAAGAGGAAAAAGAATAACAAGAACAATGTGCTGGGTCCTGGTCAGAGCCTCTCTTAACATACCTGCCAGGTCCCCAGGCCATGTGCCCTCTTCTCCTTAGACCAGCCTCCGGCGCCTTACCTGGGCTCTGTCTTACGGCTTTTCCTACTGTCGGCCAGAGGCCGCTTTACATTCTATCTTAAAGAATCCTTCAGCCCAGCACAGTAGAAACTGCGTGATTTGCTGCACGCTTCACCATGGCCTTCCAAGTCTAGTTCATATCCCTACTGTCCTGCAAGCGTGGTACTCTTCCCCAGCCTCACCACTGTGGCCAAGGCCAGCGAAACCATGTGAAAAAGTCAGTCTACTCCTACCCATGCATCTATCCATGCATGCATCCATGCATGCATTAATCCATCCACTGATGTATCCAGCCATCCATGCATCCATCAATCCATGCATCCACCCATGTATGCATCATCTATATATCAATACATTCATCTACGCATCCTTTAAAAAGTATTATGGAAAAGAAAGGGGGACTCTGGATTCCCATGTCAACCCCTATCTAGTGTTCTTGATACTCTACCTGATCCCCCAGTGGACAAGGAGCCCAATATTCTCCCATTGCTAGACACTCCTCTCTACTCAGAAAAACAGCCCTAATTGCTGCTTCTCTGTGCCCTCATACAGCAGTTCCTGGTCTGTCCCCGAGGAAGCTCCTCAGCTCCCTTGAACAACAGCTCCTCCATCCCTTGACTCGCTTCAAGAGACAAGTCATGGGGCCCCATTTTATCTTCTTGGCTGGGTTCCTGCATACTAGTTAAACAGAGTTGCAATTAAATTAGAATATAGATAGGAAAGAGGCATGGGGCTACTGTGAACTTGTTCCAGTCATTGTGCCGAAGAACAAAATCAACTTTGTTTCAATATTTCTAAAAATAGCACTTTAAATATTTCCGTAAGTTTCCTTTCAAAGCAGTATGGTGCTGCTCATCTTCCTGGCTTACCAAATACACATAAAACAAAAAAATAACCAGCTCATAATTCATACCTGCTATATCTATTAAATGTAGAAATATGGAAAATCATGACACTTTCCAGAGGGGCACCCTAAACTCTTGTGTTTCTGTAGTACTGTGAACTCGCACAAACCTCTCTCTCAGAAAGCGGCCTGGCCACCCATTGTTTTGAGTCATAGGGCATGCATACTTTCTGACCCAATAATCCGGGTCCTGGGAGTTTATCCTGGGAAACTAACTTTCAAAAAAAAAAAAAAAAAAAAGAAGAATAGAAGCCAGCAAGATGATTCACTGGGCAAGGGTGCTTGCTGCCGAGCTTGACATCTGACCTCCACGCATGTGCTGTGGTATGTGCATGTAGTATATGCATGCCCCCACCTGCTACACCTCACTCTTAAAAAATAAGTAAATGTAAAAATTAAAAGAGGAGGAAGGTTGAGGTTGAGTTTATGCCTAACCTGCACAAGGCCCTCAGCTAGATCCCAGCACCAAAATAAATAACTCTTTAAAAAGAGTAAGAAGGGACATTCCAGCATTAACATATCCACTGGAGTGTTGCTTAGGAGCCAGCAGCAGGGGGCTGCCTAAGTCAGTGTGATTTCATCGACTTGGAAGCATTCACGTACCCACAATCAATTAAAGCCCTGAAAATGAGTCTGCAACTCGGTGAACTCCCTATGAGAAGAGGGCAGAGGGAAGTAGAACTCAAGTATGCATGCAGATAGACCACAAGGCAACAGAGAACTCAGGTACACATGCAGATAGACCACAAGGCAACAGAGAACTCAGGTACGCATGCAGATAGACCACAAGGCAACAGAGAACTCAGGTACGCATGCAGATAGACCACAAGGCAACAAAGAACTCAGGTACACATGTAGATAGACCACAAGGCAACAGAGAACTCAGGGGCTCCATTGGAGAGGAAGATAGTGGGACCAGGGGACTTAGGGAAGTTTCCTGAGTTCTCAGTAGTGTGGTACCTGTAAAAGGGGAAATGAGACGAGTGACCCATGTCACTGGGGTTCTTCCCTCCAGAGCAAGAACGAGCCAAGAGAGGCTGCAAAGCCAGGTGTGAATGCTCTGGCTCTGTGCCCAGTGTGTGCTACTGAGATGGCCCTGCATGCCAGGTGGGGAGTTCTGATGGTGTGAGGTCCCCAGAAGCGAACTGAGACAAAATAGCTAATCCTAGTATCAGGAATAGCTTGGGAATTGTGAGGGCAAATGTATTGCTATTTTCCTCCTTAGAAAAGACAGTAGGCCCTCATTAATGTTGAATTTTTCTTAAAACAGATTCCTGGCTTGCAGGGGTGTGGAGTGAGGAGGAATGAGAGGCAGCAGATAGTCCTGACCAGGATGTAGTTCTCTGTCCTGTGAGAGTCCCCAGGAGCCAAGGGCTGATTACCATGTAGGCTACAAAGTCTCGTATCCATGTTTCCTGGTTCTACGGTTGCAGCTTTACAGAGGGCAGAGTGTCCTACAGACAGGGCTTTACAGAGGGCAGAGTAACACAATAATACCCTCACTGGGCAGGAAAAGTGTATGACCATATGCATGCAGGACCAGCCACGGGGAGAGGAAGAAGGCAGTGGCCTCCTGGGGCATGCACTCATCTCAGAGCAGGTTACGAGCAACCCCTGGCACTCCAACTCCGAGGGCAAGCAGTACCCAAGGTGATCGTGGCATAAATGACTCCTTCAGGCAACTGTGCTGATCTGGGGACTCCAGTAGGGAGATAAGATCCATAGTGACCTGTAGGATTGATATTCAATAGCACAGACAGAGAAGATAGAGAGAGGGGAGAGGCGGGAGGGGGAGAACGATGGGGAGGGAGAAGGAATAAAGAGAGAGGCATAGTCAAGCACAGACACCCAGATGTGGCATGAAGCTGTCTATACTAGATACTAGTTCTCAACCTGTGGATTGCAACCCCTTTGGGGGCCGAATAACCCTTTCACAGGGCTTGCCTAAGACCGTTTGCATATCAAATATTTAATAAATAATAATTTAATAAATAATAGTAGCAAAATTGCAGTTCTGAAGCAGCAATGAAAATAATTGTATGGTTGGGGGTCACTACAACATGAGGAGCTGTATTAAAGGGTCGCAGCGTTGGGATGGCTGAGAACCACTGCTCTAGAGGCTGCTCACTGCTGTCCCCTCTGAGGTGCAGACTCCTCAGGAGAGGCTAAGGATGTCATTTACCTGCTCTGTTCACATCCAGAGGCCACTGCAAGTTGTCACCAGTGACATGTGGCCAGAGTGGAATGTGTCATGTCTGGGATGCACTTTTAAGAAACAGACAGGCACTTCCCACTCTCTCTTTACAGAGGATGCTTTGGTCCTGGAGGATGGCTGAGTCAACATGAGACGCACCTGAGCACCCAAATTACCCAGGATCAGAAGTGCCACACTGCTCAGAGTAGAAACCAATGCCAGGGAGTTATGGGTTACAGCTGCTGCTATTTCCCCAGCAAGACGCAGCAGAATAAAGAACCTGATATATTGGGCAGAGAGGGACCTTGGTGTCTCCAGTACAAACTCTTAGCACACTCAGCACTTGCTCAGAGGGCAGCACCGGGACACAGATAATAAAGCAAAACAGGAGTCCCAGCATCCGGCCTTGTCAAAGAAGCCGATACAATCCTGATGGCCATTCAGCTGGAGAAACACCTATGCTTAGTGCTCCTTCCTCTTACTGTGACCAGGTCACCCTGCTCTAGCAGATATGGGGACAGCAGGCTCCCACCACCTGCTTCCCTAGCCCACTTCACCTGGAGAGTTCAAATGACACAGTGAGCTGCCTCAGGCCAGGTGGTGACCAGAAGGGATGCACAGGTGTGAGACAAACACCAGCAGGCTGGGTGTTTCTGACCACTTGTTTGTGTGCAGGTGAAGCATCCGCGCCTGTGTTTAGAGACAGGTTCTGGCTGGCAGGGGCCACACCCAAGAGGGGAGATGGCTCAGGATACACAGAGGTGCTCACTAGGTGAGTCACGGTTTCTACCTTCAGGATGCAGCCAGACAGCATCGCCACACCCTTGGTTGGCTTGGGTTGAAATCACAGCCTGGCTGGGCCTCGCCAGCACTAACTCAGTGGGCTGAAGAGAAGCTCGTCTGCCCACAACGCCAACCACTTATAATATCCTTGGTCCCAACAAGCCCTCCCCTCCCACACAGTTCCTGGGAATGGGAGCCATAGGCAGGTGAGGAGAAAGAGAAAAGCAAGTGTCAAGTTCCAGGTCCCATCTCAGTCTAGCCCTGTTGTTGAAGAAACGTGCAAGGCCCTGCTTCACCCAGGTTCATTCCCATCGCCAGGCGCCCACGCTCACCTTTGACCTTGAAGGCAAAGTGCTATGAAGACTGCAAACCTTCCTCCCACAGGAGGAGTAATGAAGACCTGAGAAGACGCTAATCTTGATGTTGCTGCCCCAGAGAGGCCACTTGTCAAAGACTTGTCCCCAGTGTGGTGTTACTGAGAGAACATGCTGGACCACTAAGAGTCTTTGGGGCTGGAGAGCTGGCTCAGCAGTTAGGCACACTTGTTTTCACAGGGGGCCCAGGTTTGGTTCTAATCACCCACATGGCTCCTCACAACTCTGGAACCCTAGTACCAGAGGCTCTGAAGCCCCTTCTGGCCTTCTTGAGCACTAGACACAAGCATGGTGTATATATATATATATACACACAATTATGTATATATAGAGGCAAACACTTATACAGATAAAAATAAATGATTTTCTTAAAAAGAAGGCTCTAATAAAAGAGTAGAAGCTTTGTGAGAGGTCCTAGGTATTGGGGTATCCTCAAATGGGTCACAGGAGCTCACCCTCCCTATCCTACTTTGGCTTGGTGGCTTTGAGGTAAGCAAGTTGCACATCCCCCCCCCCCCCCCCCACACACACACGTCCCCTGACGGCTCTCAAAGCAGCCTATAGCAGCGTACCTGCCCTATCTTGATGAAGAGCCTCCAAAACTTTGGGTCTGAACAAGCCTTCCTCCCTTCTAGGTTAATCCTCTCAGGTATTTCACAACAGTGAGGAAAGGGGCGATGGAACCCACCCTGGCCAGGAAGAGCGGGGTTCTAGCTCCCGCCATGGCCAGCAGCCCCTTCGTATGCTCCTCATCACTGTCTCCCGACTCACCTGGTCCTACCACAGTGGCCTCCTTGTTTGTCAAACACACCAAGGCATTCTCTGACGAAAGGCCTTTGCTCTCTGGCCAGAATTCTCTGTCTGCAGTTACCTGCTTCCTCTGTTCCCGTAGCTTCCGACCCCAGCTGGAGGTCAGAGTGCCCTGCTAACCAACTGCCTAACTGCTTCCCTGCGGCAAGCAGAGCCACTATCCTGTTTTCTGCCCTAAGAGCCATCGCCAAACACAGTCTGATTTGTGTGTGGTCTGTGCTCTCTCCACATGAGTGTTCTCGCCCTGAGGGGGGTAGCAGAGTAACTGAACCCAGAGAAAGAACATGAATGATTCCCTCAAACTCAGCCTGACCTCCACATCTGTTACTGCCCAGGCCACAGGACCCTCGGCCAGCACATCTCTCCTGCGCCACCTCTCTGTGTTCAGTAAACAGCCAGGAAGGAGTCTCCCCAGATCCCCTCACAGGCAGGCAGGGTGTTGGACATTTCACAGACCCAACACTGAACTCCATATGGCCAGTTCTCAACTGAGGCCACTTCCTGCATCAGGTCACTTTGCCCGAGGTGAACCTGCCTGTCACCTGGTGATGAGTCAGCCTGTAGATTAGAGCAGACCTTCAGGGCCCTAGCCCCTGGGACATACCAATGATGGACGTATCATATGGCTCAGCCTCTTCATAGTAGCCCTCAGGAGACTCAATCTTTGGAACAGTGAGCTGCTTCCGCTCTGGAATCTGTAGCATAAACAGACAAAGCCAACAGCTTCAGATGGGGCACACTGGGAGTCACCACAGTTAAGAGGGAGGTAAAATAGGCCTGGCTGGGCTCTCAGCAAGTTGACAGGAGACCAGGGTCTACCATGAACTCTGCCCTGGGGGATGTGATGGCCTCCAAGCCTTGTTTGCCTTGTAAGAAAGAATCATAGCAGGGCCATTTGGGGGTATATGAGCCAAAGTGTGAGAGACTTGGGCTGGAGAGATGATGCAGAGGTCAGAAGTGCTCTCTGCACAATCGTGTGGAGCAGAGCTGGGGTCCTAGGACCCCTATGATAAAGCCGGGTGTCCTGCAGATGTGTGTGTGTGTGGGGGGGGGCTCTACAAGCCCAGGGTCTGAAGTCTGTGTGTAAAGGGCAATGGGTATCAATGGGTATGACAGGAGAACCACCATAATCTCATCTGAGGCAGGTCTACAGAATCCTGGGTCTAATATCTGCTTCTACCCCACTGTGCCTGGCTTCATGTCAATGGTGCCAGAGCAGGCATGAGGTAGGCTCTGCCCTACCCTTCTCCCTCCACATCCACACAGGAAGGAGCAGGGTCATAAGGTCATATCCTAATGAGAGTAGGTACTGTGTCCGCTGGCAGAGGTAGCTTCTGAGATGTGCTATGTCCCTCCTGAGGCCAGGCCTTGCATGCAGTAGGCAGGCAAGCACTCGGGAGTTGCTCGAGCTTGGCTTGCTGCCAGCACCTGGGCACAGCCTCTGCTCTATGTGGTCTCTGTCACCTGGCTGACTCTGTCAGCAGCCTGAGGAAGGGTAGCCTATGATACCAACTGTGGCTCCAAGTGCTGCCTCCTAGGGTCTGAGGGGGAAGAGTTCTCCCCCTGGACAGTAGTCTTGGGGCTCACACATTTTAAATCAGCTAGCCCCCTGGGAGGAAGTAGGTCTTATCTGGAGAGACACTCTGGGCACCCAAAATTTGGTTCTGGGTCAGGGATTGTTAGAACTGAACAAATGAGAGAGCAGAACCTCTGCCACAGGGTTAGGGCTCATCACCACAGCATCTGTGACTGGGGAGGCCATCTTGTTTAGGGTAGAAAACTAGGCCTGAGAGTCTCCCCAAAGTAGAATCTACTGTAAACGGATCATTAGAGGTGGCACAGGACTGTGTGAGGAACCCCAACAGTGGAGCATTCTAGCTATATGACTTTGAATATCGATTTGTCTAGACTGTAGTGTAAAATGAAGCACAAATGTCTGTTACTTGGAGTCAGGGAAGATTAAACTGTGCTAGGCAATATTAAGAGTTCAGTAAGTGTGTGATTTTACTAGCCAAAAAACAACAAAAACAAAACCATCAAAGTCCCATGTATATGTCCTATGATCCTAGAGACAGTGTCTTATCAGCAGAGGTCAAAGGACAGAAAACCTAATGTTCCAGGGCTAAGAAGAAAGGACCATGGTGTTCAGGCCAGCATCCTTAAGATGCAAAGATTGTGATTGTGGCAGATTGTCTCCATAAGATCTAACTGTAGTGATTGACGGGGGAGGGCCCAGTCCATTGTGGGTGGTGCTGTGCCTGGGCTGGTGGGCCTGGGTTCTGTAAGAAAGCAGGCTGAGCAAGCCATAGGAAGCAAGCCAGTAAGCAGCTCCCATCCATGGCCTCTGTGTCAGCTCCTGCCTCCAGGTTCCTGCCCTGTTTGAGTGCCTGTCCCAATTCCCCTCGATGATGAACAGCGCTGTGGAAGTGTGAGCCAAATAAACCCTTTCCTCTCCAACTTGCTTTTTGGTCATGGTCACAGCAATAGAAACCCTAACAAGGGCGGTGATCATTAGCGGAGGACCCAGAAGACAGCTGATTTCAATGTTGACATAGCCACTGGGAAAGACCCTGAGTTTACCAAGGTCCATACTTCTGCTTATTCTCCAAAGAGCCAACTAGCACATACTTTAGGGAACTGTTGCCTCTTAGGGAACCTTAGCTCAGCTACTTGATCCTGGGGTCACAGTGTGGGGAAACCATCCGCAGACCGTGCATGCTAAGGAAGTGCAGCTGCTGCAGAAAATGGTGCTAAACAAAGCAGGTAGCTGGTGGGGGACCAGAGGGCTGAGGGCTCCTGTGTACCAGACCCTAAGATGAGACGTAAAGATGAAATGCAAAGATGAAGGGTGGCCCACATGACCTGAGGCACTCACGCATCCTTCCCTGGCAAGCACACTGTGGAAAGTTCTGGGGCTACAGTAAGTAGGCAGACCACTTCCTACCATGGCCATGGAAATGCCATTTTGGGTGTCAGTTGCTTCCTCCAGCAGAAAGCTCCCTTGAGATCGGTGCTAATGTCACGGTCAGGCCTCAAGTCGGGGGTGGGTGGGGATGGTATGCTTGTCAAGATGGAAAGTGGTGACCAGCAAACATCTGTTTCTCTTGCAATGACCACAGCACCTGGCTGCGCACACTGCAGCCTGGAAAGACCTCAGCTGTCTGAGTCATGGTTCACACCCACAAGTTTGCTCCAGACCCCTGGCTGCCCTTCCCTGCTGCTTGGACCCGGTCCCCTCTGACTCCGTGGGGACTGAAGTGGTGACCTACTCACAAGAGATAAGCCAGGGCTCAGAGCTGACAAGCATCCCAAGCCCAGGACAGAGACTGCCACTCTGGTCCAGAGGCGCTGTGGGCCCAGCATTTCACTCTGATATTCTGGTGTCAGGAGAGGGAAGACAGAATCACTGAGAAAAGGAGGTGACTCAGGCTCAGGCCCTGGGGTGGAACTGCCATGTGTCCTGCCTGGGAGGCCTAGGTGACAATGACTCCTGTGTTTCTGCCTCCTGACTCACCTGCCCCTGCTTCTCTGGGAACACTGGAGTAAGATTTTCACTGTTTCAGGCATAGTGAGCAGGAAGGTTTAGGGGCACCAGCATGAACACACACGCGTGGGCAGGAAAGAGAGGGCCTGGGTAGGGGAGTGGCCTTCCTCATGCCACATCTGGAAGCACCTAAGGGTGGTAGTGGGTGTCTAAGACAGAATTTGGAAGGTCTTGGATACTCCACACCCTTCCAGCAAAGAAAGTCCCTCTGGTGGAGGGAGGGACTTGCACGGTAAGGTCAACCGGGGCTACTACAACTTTCTGCAGGCCTGCAGACTGTCCACAGGACAATCACCACACCTCAGAAAGGCCCTTGAGACTGAGCTAGTCCTAGGAGGTGACATTTTCTCCAACTCCAGAAGCAACGTTCTCTCAGATGTGGCCCTTGAGCCTCCCCACACTGAGCAGTCCCATTACAGACAGCACAGGAAGTAGCTCTCAAGGGGATCATGTCTACCTTGTCATCAGTGAGAGCTCTACTGTGCCAGTGGCATTGGGGGAAGCTGGAAGGAACACAGCCCTCACTGACATATGGAGTCAACAAGAACCTGTGTTCAGATCCCGTCTCTCTGCCTCCCCAGCGTCAGCCTGGACCAGGACTCTCAAAGCTCTGAGACAGTGACAGAGTCACCTGTCCCTTGAGGGGCAGCAGAGGAACAGATTTTCATGGAGTGGGGTGGAAGTTCAGAAAGAGGCCAACAACAGCATCACAGGGATGCCCAGAAATGAAGATCATCTTTCCAACAATCACTCTGCCCTACACAAAGAGTCCCACCAGCTGCCACTGGGGTCAGGGAAAGCCTAGCATGGGACATCAACCCGGGTACTTGAAAACCACCTCATCACCCCATGTGGTGGAGCTGTATTTCCCAACTTGAGGGACCCTGCTGTCCTTAGAAAGCTTTGAACTGGAGGCTGGGTGGGAACCATTCTGGTCCTGAGACCCTTCCCGAGTTTCACAGATCCAGTGATGTCCCTCTTGTGTAGAGTCACATGGCTGTGGAGTACTGGTCCAGGGCCCCTGCTTCCTAAAGACAACCTCCTAGACACAGTCTTGGATCTTTTCTAGGAAGCCTCCCTCTGGGGAAAGATACTGGGGTCAGAGGTCAGATCCTGACACCGTCACTTCTAGACTGAGACAATGAGCTTCCTCTGCTTTGTCCTAGCTGGATTTTTAAAAAGTCAATTCAACACAAGCTATCTGAAAAGAGGGAACCACAATTGAGAAAATGTATTTATAAGACGGGCCTGTCATGCATGTAGGGCACTTTTTTGATTAGTGATTGAGGTGGGAGGCCCAGGCCGTTGTGGGCAGTACCACCCCTGAGAAGGAGAACCTAGATGATGTAGGAGAGCACACCCAACAAATCGGGGGGAAAAAGCCAGAAAGAAACACTGTCCGTGGCTTCTGCTTCTGTTCCTGCCTCTAGTTACCTGCTTTAAGTTACTGCCTTGACTTTCCACAGTGATGAACCTGGAAGTGTGGGCTGAAATAAGCCCTGTCCTCCTCAAGTCACTTTTGGCCACAATGTCTATCATAGCAATAGAAACCTAGCATACCCTAACATGTAAACACTGTGACTCACCACACCGAATGCTGCCTTAGTGTGGCACCTCCAGTGTCGTGTGCCTTACAGACTTAGCCCAGTGAACCGGTCCATCTGGTCAGACAGATGTCAGCATCACTGTCACTTAAACACTGAAGAGCAAAGGGCTGGAGACTTGAAATAACTTGCTCGTGGTCAAAGAGCTAGTGCTGGCCAAAGTGAGATCTGACACAGGACTGTATGATCTATGATTTTACACATCATTCATCCATCCAAATATCTATCCACCCAATCACCATCAACCTACCTACCTATCCACCCATCCATCTAGCCACCCACCCCAATGTGTAACTATTTCTATATGGCCTACTTGGAACAGATACTATATGAGGTGGTGGATAAAAGGTATCATCCTTGTCCTGTAGAGCTTATATCTCATAGAGGAGATAAACAATAAGACAACAATGTCAGGAATGGTGGGGGCCATGGTTGGACACAATGTAACCGAGGCAGAGCAGGAATACAGTGGCTTCTTTGTCCAGACCAGAAAAGTCTAAGAGCTTCTGAGAGAAGAGGAGGGGTCAGTCACAGACAAGCCAGTAGCCCGAGAGAACAAAGTCTTTGAGGCAGAGCCAACCTCGGGGCAGCAGGGCAGTGAGTGAAAAGTCAGCATGAGGAGGCTGCACACCCTGCTGTTGGGCAGGAGGTGGAACCTGGGCACCATGGTGGGAACAGGACGTCCCTATCCAAGTTTTACAAGACAGACCGGTGGGTCTCAAGTATAAGGTGCAATGTAGCACGCTTTTTCTCTTCTCTATACTGGAGACAAAGTCTCACTTTTAGGCCATGCTGACCTGGAACTCCCTTGTAACCCAGGCCAGCCTAGAACTCATGAATAACTTCCTCCCTGAGACTCCTGTGTGCTGGAATTATAGGCATGAGCCACCACACTTGGCTAAGAATTATCTTTTTAGAAGGCCACAGATGCACAGACTGGTGACCAGAGCAGTTTATGGCCCTGCAGTGTTAGGTACAAGGTGACCCTTGACAAAAACATTTGACAAAGCCTCCGCAGGCACATTGCTCACAGCACCTGGAGCATCCTGGCCAGGCTTCCTGTGTTCCAACTTCCCCGAGCTGTGCTCAGAATGTGTCAGATGCTTGGAGGACTGATAGACACCCATGGGGACAAATGCAACCTCTGAGAGCTCCAGCCGGGAGGTAGATCAGGAGTCCTGCTTCGACACTCACCGTCTTGGGTGGAGGAAGATCTGGAAGGCTCTTCTGTGGGGCTGAGGAGTGCCGGCTGGGCTCCCCATTGGTCAGTGGACCCTGCTCTTCGGGCACTGTAGGCAGCAAGAGGAGAAGGCTTCAGTGAGGGGTGCAGGCTCTCATTACTTGGGATGTCTGCTCACTTGTCCTGGCCCTGTCCTGTGTATTCTATTTGAGCAGGTGTTAATTACCCAGGCAGGCAATTCCTCCAAGAATAGGACATAGCAATGGCTGGCCCTACACAGATTCCTCAGAAGTAGTCAGTGTGAGGTTTCTGGAAGGTTCCGCACCTGCCACCTACCTGTCCCATTTTCAAAAATGGCCCAGCCACAGAGCCTCGGGGGCAGGGCAGCTTCTTGGCTGTCACTATATTGAGCCACACAAAGCACTGACCTGGTGATTATGGCTCTTTCCTCCCACCATTTACCCAGAAGTTTGAGTGGCCACGGCACTGTATGAACTTCTCAGACCCTGACTTGTCTTGGGGGAGGGTGGGGAAAGGGTGTGGGCACCGCACCAAAGAAGTTAGGCTCTCCAGTTCAACCAGCCCAGCAAGACAGTGCAGGCTTGCTGAGGGCCCCAAGAAAAGCCTTTATCAGGATATTGCAGAGTCTCTGGGGCAACCCCTTCTCAACTCTCTCCATGTCTTTCTGTTTGGGAATTATAGAAAACACTTCATGTGACCCCTGCTGCTAAATGTTCTATAATGCTCTGGCCACACACACACACACACCAGAGGGTCTAAGAGAAAATGCTTTAGGCAGAGGAGTAAGGTGTCAGGGACAAGGCCCCGAGTCCTTCCAGGAGAGAACCCATGCTGCCTGAGAGTACGCTGTGAGCTTCATCTTTTAATATCACAGTTGCTGACACCACCATTTCTCTTCCCTCCCTCCCTCAAGCAGACTTTCACCCAAAGAGGCAGGCTGGGACCGTGGGATCAGCGCCACACACGGCCGCTCTCCTAGAATGTCTGAATTATGACTTCCTCTTCCTGTGATGATGCTGGGAAAAGCCAAGACATTTTAGGGGCAGATTCCTTGTCCAATAGGCAAGAAGGTGGTGGCCCCATTGAAACATCCAAAAATATATAAACCCAAAATACCATTCACCAAAATATGGATTCCAAAAATAGACCTCTGGGCCTGTCTGTGAACCGGCTAGGAGGGAGGTGAGGAGGATGGGTGAAGCCAGGCAGCCCGGCAGCCCTCAGGGCCTTGTACCTTCAAGTGAAGATGCTGAGTTCTGCTCCCTGTTGACTGATACTTTGTTCATGTAAATGTACTCCTCATCAGAACCTGCAGAGGGAAAAGCAGGAGATGTGGCTTCATGGGACTTTGTTTCGCCCCCAGGTATCTTCGCACGCTCAGGACCCAGGGAGAGCACTTGGCACGGGGTTGGCACGATGGCTCAGTGGTCAAGAGCAGCTGCTGCTCTTGCAGAGAGATAACCAGGGTTCGGTCATCAGCACCTACGCGGTGGCTCACAGCTACCTGCATCTGCAGTTCCAGGGGCTGCAACACCGTCTGCTAGCTTCTGTAGGTACCAGGTACATATGTGACGTACATACACACATAGGCAAACCACCCAGATGTGTAAAATAAAACCAAGCAAATAATCACGAAAAAGGAGCATTTGGGATTTCAAGCTGTGTAGAGTTAGTCATAGAGACAGGTGGCAGACTTCTAGTGTAGAAATGACAAGATGCTGATTCTGGCTTTCTACCCTAGGGTGGAGGATAGAGGGGGGAAGAGCTTTAGGGATAGAATATGTAAACAGAGATTGTGTTTTCATTTCCGCCCACCCAGACCCAAATAATCACACAGAAACTACATTAATTACAATACTGCTCGGCTGACAGCTCATACTCCTAGCTAGCTCTTATATCTTAAATTAACCCATTTCTGTTCATCTATGTATCGCCACAACTGTGGCTTACTGATAAAGTTTTGGCATCTTTCTTCTTGGGCGGCTACATGGTGTCTACTTGACTCTGCCTCCTTTCCTCCTCTATCTCGGCTTGGAATTCCAGCCTCCCTGTATTCTGCCCTGCCGTAGGCCAAAGCAGCTTCTTTACTTGGTGGCAGTATGGGCCACCTGCTTTCCAAAGGTGGGGTGGTAAACATGGCTCCCAGAGCTGGAAGTAAACAGATCTCTGCTGTGTTGGAAAGCCGAGCAGGGTGGAGCCAACAGCCAAAGCAGCCGGCAGCTCTGGTGCTAGCCATGCCTGCTTAACAGTTTAGAGCAGTGATCCACAATAAAAACATATTCAGATGAAAATAAACCTCTAGATGGGTCATAATGTCTTAAAAAATGTACAGAGGCTTAAGGAAAAGAAAGAAAATGGGTATAGGCAATTATAGAAAAAAATAGCTTTCAAAAAATAAAATAATCCCAGCACTTGGGAGGCAGAGGCAGGCGGATCTCTGTGAGTTCGAGACCAGCCTGGTCTACAAGAGCTAGTTCCAGGACAGGCTCCAAAACCACAGAGAAGCCCTGTCTCGAAAAACCAAAAAAAAGAAAAAAAAAAAAAGAAAAAAAAAACAAAGCATTTAAAGAGACAGTGAAAGTAATATAAAAGAGTACAGTCATAAATGAGTAAAGATAATAAATATTAAAAAGTAATAGAGCAAAAAATAAGACAGGTAAAGATAGAATACACACAGAGAGTATGGATTATGTATAGTATTGTGTATATTCTTCAAAATGTTTGACTGTTAATGATCTAACTGCAGAGAGACATTGGATAATAGAAAAAACTTCTGAATTAAATCAGCCAGTGTATTTCAAAGATGTGTTGACCTCAGAATGGAAACCAGGAAATTAAGTAAGATTTGGTTTAAAAGGGAGAAACCTCTTGATAAAGAGAAATAACAGCTCATCTACAGAGGGGAATCCCACATCAAGAATGGGTAAACAAAAGGCCATTCATCCCTCAAAGAGCTACGGTGCATTCCACAAACTGAAGATGTCTCTGGACCCTTGGCGTTGTAAAATATTTCCTATCTGCCTTTCCCACACTAGTATGAATCATCAGAATGGACTAAAATCCGAAGTGTCTAGCATTAAAGTAAACCATGCTAAGGGCCTGGACATTTAGCTCCCAAAGCCCAGGGTGGAGAAGGATCAGCTTAGGCTGCTGGAGGAGGAGAAGCTGAATGAACAAACCACTCAGGGCAAGAAGGCTGGGCACAGGAAGTGAAGAGCACCAGTACTTTGTTCTGTCCTACAGATTGAAACTTTCAGTACTACAACCCAGGTCCTGTTTTAAATTACTGATGGTCAGGCACCATTCTGATTGGTGCCTGCTGGCAGGGGGGTGCCAGTGTCCTGCCACATGCCTGGTTCCTAGCCCCTATGCACCTATTCTCAGAAGCTGGTGAGAAGACCCTCCATGATTTCTCTTCTTTTGAACCCTCTTGATGGTCCTCTGTGGCTCTTAATTTGCATTTCCTAGCGACACACAGCTGGCAAATTCCTGTGGTTGGACGGTATTCCTGAGCCAATAGACTCAGTGCAAACCTTTGCCAAGGATCCAATTCAATGGCAGTCTCTTTCATGGCCATAGACTGCTGACTCCAGCCAAGGGCTTGCAAAAGAAGCTAGAGAGCCCAGAGGGTCAGGAGGAGGCCAGATGGGTTCTAGCTGTCAGTCACAGTGGCACTATTTCAGTGGCCAGCCTTGCCAGGACCAGTAACCAACATTGCCCCAGTCCAGATGTCTCTGCTGGTGTGATGGGGATGGAGAGAGATGAGAGACAGAGCTCTGCCAAGCTATGCTGTGTGCGGCAACTTCTGGAAAGAACCCCTAATCTCTGAGCCTTGGTCGTCTTCTCTGCTCAGACGGAAAGCCATCAAGATGAAAGCCTGCCCGTTGACCAAACAGAACTCAAATTTAGGGAATATGGAAAAGTAAAATCAACTTTTAGCTGACAAAGATTAGAGGCAAGAAACTTAAAGGCTCCAAATAAGGAAATGGTAAAAGGGCACCACAACTCCTCAAATTCAGAAGGCTTTGCCACCAGTCTGCAAAACCAAATGGATTGCCAGAGACTGGGAATTGACAGTCACGTGAATTTGATTCTGGAAGGCAAGTTTACACCATCATGTCCTTTGTTCTAGCCTTTCCACAGTTAGAAATCTGTCTGACAGACGTGCTCCAGACACAAACAGAATCTTACTTGAAATTGCTCATTGTAATATTGTCTGAAGCCTTTGGTCTGGTTTGAAGCACTGTAACTGAAATGCCTATCAATAGGGGGCCAGGAGACCCTTCATCTGCAGGGTAAGTAGCACTTCTCACAGAACTGGGGCAAGGGAGGGAGGAAGGGCTGACCCTCTTGGCTACAGCTGAATGGGCAGAGCATGTGCAATGTCCTTCTCACAGGAGCAACCACCGGAACATTCTTAAGCAGGGGAACATGCTTCTAGCTGACAAAGGCATGGCATACCACAGGCTGCCAAGTCCCCGCTAGAAGAGTATTCGATCTGTGCCCTGTCATCAGTTAAAAACAGGGCCTATCAATTTAAAAATAAAAACTCAGAAAACTCAGAAAGATGATCCCATTGAAAAGTATGAAGTTACTCACACCGGTGCACACACATGTGCTCTTATGGACACGAATATAGACAGACTCATGTGTGCTCACATGGACATGGATACAACACACACACACATGCATGCACACACACACACTCCCGCCCACACACATACCCTCTCATTCTTCATCCCACATGTGAGGACCACAATGAACAGAGCGTCTCTCCTCACAGAGAGAGAGCTGAGTCTGTGGAGGTACAGTGAGGCATGGGGGGGGGGTAAGAGAAAGACAGACAGTATAATGGGAGTGTTTCGGGATTCAGTCTTGGGTGGCACATTTAATCCAGGTGACGACTGGAGAGAGAATACAGAGGTTAGGTCTGCCTGCTCTGGCTCCAGTCTTCACAGCTGGAGCCCTCTGGGCAAGTGACTTGCCGAGCCCTGGTCATGTCACTGATTAATGGCATTAACACCAACTCCCTTACAACTATGAGCTAAGGATTAAATGGCATAATCTGAGTCACTGCACACATTCACACTGTCCTAGAAAACCATTGGTACCATATGTGTTAATTCCCCGTAGTCTAGCAATGCAAAGACCAGGAGGCATAGTTTGCAGATGTGTATAGTAGCAACCAATACATGCATGTCAGCCCCGAGAATCTCAAGGGGGGGGGGGTCACAAGACTCCACATGGTTGAACACAGTCATCTATGGACTTGGGGATCTCTGGCGGTGTTCACACTGGGGCACCTGATCAGATCTCCATAGCTCCCCACCATCAATCTGTAGCAGAGGCCAAGAGTTTGGAAAGTCAGAGAGATAAAAACCACCCTCCAGGGAACTAAGGCAAAAGGGATTGGGAGCAGAAGGTACTGCCTGCACACTGGCACCAGATGACAGCGGGCTTCCTCACTGGGGCAGTCTTTATAAGGATGTTACAAACTTACAGCTTTATAACAATGTTCCAATGTTACAGATTTATGACAATGTTACAGTGTTGCATCTTTAAAGGTCTGGGAGCCTGCCGTTTGAAGGGTCCCATCAATGAGTCTTCTGTGAGGTGACTCATCCCTCTCTAACCTTCCTCTTTGTAGTGTGGATTCCCCTCTGTTTCCCACCAGTGCTGCTTTGATGTGCAGCCTGGCAGACGCGGATACAAAGCTAAGAGCCTGGGAACTGTGCAGTGTCCTGGAGAGGGGAAGGCAGGCCCTTGATGACGATGGGGCGTGGGTATCCAGGATGCTTCCTCCAGAAGGGAATGGCTTCAGGAATCTAGGAACACACTTCAACTTCATTACTGCCACACAGGGAAGACACTTTCTACTGGGAACCAGGGGAAGGGAGCCCCAAAGAACAGCCTGAGATTCAGGCTAGATTTAGGGAGCACTCTGGACTGTGACAACTGAAGCAGGTTAATACTTCCCTCCCTTGGCAGGGATAGTGGCCACTCCTGCTGAGAGGCAGATGGATCTGATACCCTCTGATGGCTCTCACCATCCTCACACAGGATCTAGTCACAAACATGGGCATAAAATTCAGCTGGACTCCGCTGCCAGGATTTCACAAAGCTTTTCTTCTAAAAGCAATTCTGAATTTACTACAAAGGAAACCACCTGTCTGAAAGAATTGCACAGGCGCATTCATGGCAGCCTTCCAGCTTCACCACTGAGAAAACGTGAACTCCCCACGCAGACATAAACAAGTAAATACAGGTAGACCACTCCAGAGATGAAAGGAACCAACTACAGGCACACCTAAGGCTCCAGTGAGTCTCCAAAGGGGGCCACAGTAGACACAGAATGATGGCATTTACACACAGTTCCAGAACAGATACCTTCTTAAGCAAGGCCTACCTTGGAGTGGAGATGGGAAGGAGATTAGAGAAAACAGAGCAAGGTTGGATTTAAGAAAAACAACTGTATGTGCACATGCATGTGGGGGTCAGAGGTCAACTAGAAATGTTGGTCCTTCATCACTCTTTGGCTTTTGTTGCAAGTGTCTGTGCGTTTGTGTGTGAGTCCTCTTCTATTTGTACGTGCATGTACACAATGTGGCTATGTTTGCGTGTGAGCGGGCTCACCTGTGCAGGTACACGTGGAAGCCAGAGGTTGACGCTGGGTATCTTTCCCACCTGCTTTTCTTGCCCAGCACCCTATGAAGATCTGCCCACCTCCACCTCCCTGTGGGAATACAGGTGCCTGTGAAGGGTCTGGCTTTGTGGGTGTTGGGGATCAAACTCAGGTCTTCCGAAGTTTGTACTGCAAGAATGTTACTGACTGAGCCATCTTCCCAGCCCAGAAGAGAGAATTCTCTGGAGTATCCTGTATAGTTTTAGATAGGGGCTACCCTGGTGTATACAATTATCAAAAGTTGCTGAATTGCATGTTTAAGGTCTGTGCACTTTATTGTATGTAAATTGTACCACAAAAAATGGAAAAATTATGAACTCATGATTCTGCAATTTACAATCTTAAAATTATATTTTCTTCTCCCCCTCAGGCTACATAATACTAGTCAAGGTATTTATACTCCACAGCCTGAGTTCCCTGTGTGGGAATAGCACCAACCGCATAGAGTTGTCATGAAGAAATGAATTCATACAAGTGCAGCTTCCGTGGGCAGCACAAAAACCCTAAGTATTCATAACAACCTCCAGTTACCCAAGAAAGCCCTGGGCATTCTTAACAACTTCCTGTCTTCTCTCTTTTAACCAGTAGGGAGAGAGGACTTTGGACATGCTCCACTTAAAATCCCACTCCCCCCGCATGTGGAGTGTGAAGAGGGTTCCCAGCCAAGTCAGGTTGCCATGGACCACTGTTATGAGCTCAGCTGTGTCCATTCATATAGCAAACCCTAATCTCTGGGCTTTCAGAACTTTTATTTGGACAGAGAGCCTAAAACTAAGGTGCCAGGGTGATCCTAGTTCGTGTGGCTAGAGTCCTAACAAGATAAGATTAGAAGACACACACACAGAGGTGGCCTTGTGAGGATATGCCAGGGAAAAGTCCGCAGAAAGAGGCGCTTTGCTGATTCCTGTGCAGCGCACACCACCTGTCTGCGCTCTATGCGCTACCATACAGTTTGTGAGCTTCAGGGAAGGGACTGGAGGTTGAAACACACAAACACACACAGAGAGACAGAGACATGGACCTCTAGTCACTGGTAAGAAGCCCTTTATTCAATAGTACCACGGAGGCTTATAGACCCAACAGTCAGGTGGGCCAACAGGTGAAAACCTTATCCTCTGATCCTCAAGGCAAGGCAACACGTGCTCGTGAAGCAGAGCTGGTAAACAACTTTGACACAGCTTTCAGTAACTCAAATCAGAAGGAAAGTAAAGATCTCTAGCAGGGAAGAGCAGCTGGAGGCCAGGGCTCCAAATGGTCCCAACACTCCTGGCTCTCAGGTAGCTGGTCTCTGGAGATGTGAGAAAATGAAGGTGTGCTATGAAAGGCCCCCATGACACTGCGCTACGACAGCCTGGTCAGACAAGCACTCTGCGGGTACCCGAGGCCCCAGGACCACACTTACTACTGCTCTTGGTGTAAAGCCGCAGGAGCTCCGCCAGGCCACTCTTCCTCACCAAGGCTGCGCTGCTCAGGTTCTCCTGGTCTAGAACCTTGAGGAAGTCATCCAGCTCTGTCAGCAGCTGCTCCAGGGCTAGAGACAAACACAGGAGAAAGTGTTCAGGGACGGCCTCTCCACAGACCCAGCAACACCCACCGAGGACCTGTGGTCCCAGCCGGAGGCTCCTGTGAGGCTTGAGAAGGGCATTCTCGGCTTCAGAGTCTTCATGGGAGAAAAGCAGGTCCTTGAATTTGAGACAGACAACCCCAAAGGAGTCACAGGCCTACCACTTGCTGGCGAAGTGGTGGTGGCCTGGCTGGGTATCTCCTCCATCACCGATGCCGGCCTTCACGGTTAACAAGGAAGAGAACTCGCCCTCCAAAGACCTTGCTGGCTGCTGAGCTATGGCCCAGCTGTGCTTAGGGTTCTCATCTTTCTCCCAAGGGACAATGGTCTTGCAATTTCACCTTCTCAAGTCATTTAGATAAATGCTTTCTTTTTAAAAGTTCTTCCATCAAACCAAATACTATTGTTCTGCTAAAGGAGCTCAGTAATGACATGACCCCTAACGGTATTCCACTATGCCCGTAGACCAGTGCCCCATCCAGTCATCACCAGAGAAGCTTCCCCCCGCAGATGAGAGGTGATACAGAGACCCACAGCAGAGTGAGACTTTGAAATAAGTAGTACGAAATGGGATGCCTTCTTCAAACCCCTCCCTTAGGGCTCAGAGAGCAATGCGGAAGAGGGGGTCAGAAAGACTGGAAGAACCAAAGGGGATGGACGACTCCAAGGAAAGAGTGTCTTCCAGACACACAGGACTCATACACATATGAACTCATAGAGTCTGTCTGTGGCAGCATGCACAGGGCCTGTACAGGTCTAAGCCTGACAGAGTCCCTGTGCTGAGGGGGTAGTAAACACGAGCTCCCATCCCTAACCAAGAAGCTAGCTTCAGTCGACAACAGCTTACAAAGGAAAAATTGGTTTTCTGTAATGGAGTCTCACTTAGAGGCAGGCCCCACGCTCAGCAGTAGACGGCTAACTCAACACAAACTCAGTGGTGTTTCTGTCAATGCTTTGTTTTTGTTTTGTCTCATATTGCTTTGTTTAGGCAGGCTTCAGCTTACTGCTCGTATAGCATGACTTCCGACTTTGATTTTGTGTTTTTATGGGTTTTGTTTGTGTGTGCACCTAGTGTGTGTGTGTATGAGTGTGTCTGTGTGTGCAAGTGTGTGTGGGGGGAGTTTCTTGTGCTTTTTATTTGTTTTTTTTAATTCTGGTTTGCTTTTGTCTGTCTGTTTGCTAAAGAGAGAGAGAAGGCAGACAAGGAGTTGGATGTGCGGGGAGGTAGGAGGGCCCAGGAGGAGATGAAGGGAAACTATGATCAGAGTTATAACATATGAAAAAGATTTTTCAGTTAAAAAGGAGGAAAGAAGTTCTTCCATCACTGAAGATGCTACAACTATAAAGTGAATCTTAGTTTGGAACACACAGCTCTCTAAATCACTACAAACCTGCTCACGGATGGCTACAACAAAGAACTCTTCCTGATTTGCCTCTCCCCAGAGTCTTAACCTCTGAGCCATCTCTCCAGCCCTCTCCCCAGAGTCTTACAGGGACACCCACCACAGTTGTTGCCGTACTCTTTGGCCAAATCTATGCACCCCACCCCACCATCTTGGGGGTTCACACATTATAGTGAGTGCCTCTTCTGTCTAAATGCTGTCCATTGCCAGGCCTTGCTCTCCACAGCATCCGTCCCAGCACCCTGGCTAGCCTCTAAAACAACCAGGCTCCTTGGGAAGATAACCTCATGCCACCAACTCAGCTTCTAGGAAGGCTAAATCATGGTCCAAAAGACATCTCTACTGCTCTGCACAGCAAAAGGGACTCCACAGATGGGACTGGAGGATGGAGATGCTGCTCCCGGGCTCTCCAGGTGAGTCCCAGCCATCACGAGTGCACTGAAAAGAGGAAAGAGTGAGAGCCAAGGAGAGAAGACGGGAGGTCAGGGCAGGAGCCAGGAGGAGTAAAGTTGCCACAATACCGTCTCTGAGGTTATAATAGGAAACCATCAGCCAGGAAATGCAAGAGAACCCTGTGTGATGGAAAAGGGGAGGGGATGGATCATCTCTGGGAGGATCAGGGTTCAGTGGATGTTTTGTTACTCTAGGACTACAAGTTAATGAATTTGTGTTGCCGTGAGTCCCTGAGGTTGGTAATTTGTCATAGTGGCAATCAGAAGCTTACAGTACCCTCTTATTATGCTGTCTGGGTCACACTGTTGCTGCCTGTGGCCCCGTGTATGTACACCCTCCAACAAAGGACTCTGCATTTAGCTTGCACCTCCACGGCGCCCACAAAATGTCCAGTATTGACTAAGTGAGAGAATGAAGTAAAAACAAATTCACCCACTTACGCACAGCACGTCAGGGCCAGACTGCAAGAAAATGAATTCCTGGCTCTGAAAACCCAGTACCTGGCCTATCCCACCTCACTGAAACACTGGAACAGACAGGCTTCTCCAAGGGATCTGTTCTGCCTTTCTAGCTTGGTTTTCCATACATGCATACACAGATACATCCATGCAGACACACATGTATATATGTCTCACATGTGCGGGGCCAGTACTGTTCTGAGCTATGCCCTCTATGCCTTTTCTAATTTATAATTTTCCTAACTGGTCTGACTGAAGCCAACTTACAAGTTCAACTGAATGGGCTGTTCTAAAACCTGGACCCTGGCAGATTACCCACCACTGGGAACCTGTGTTGGTGCTTGCTTTCCTTGTGTTTAGCCTCAGTTTCCTCCTTTCGTGGACCAGTTTATCATCACCATCACCAGCATCACCACCATCACCACCATCACCATCATCACCACCATCAATCAATACCACCACCATTATCATCACTACCATCACCACCTTCACCACCATTATTATCACCACCATCACCACCACCATCACTACTACCATCACCACCATTATCATCACCACCATCAATAGCATCACTGCCACCATCATTATCATCACTACCATTACCACCTTCACCTTCGCCACCACCACCACCATCACCACCACCACCTTCACCACCATTATCATCACTACCATCGTCACCACCACCACCATCACCATCATCATTATCAATGTTTCATTGCAGGGATTGAACCCAGAGCTTCTCACATGACAAGCCATCATTCTACCAACTGAATTCTCTCCCTGCCTCTTTTGACTTTTTGAGACAGGGTCTCACTAAATTGCCCTGGTTGACCCTGAACCCACTGCACTGTCCAGGCTGTCTCAGACTTGAAATCCTCCTAACTTAGCTTCTGGAGTAGTACCTGGGCTTGTATAGGCTGGTATCAACCAGGGCTGGCTTGAGCCATGCTTTAAAACCACGTGGAGGCAGTGAATTGTTGCTGGAAGTCTGTCTCTCCCCCTGCCCCTGCTTCTCCTGCCTTCCTGGCATGGCTTATCAGACCTACAGACATATCGGGCAGGTTCAAAGTAACCAGGGAGTGTGAAAGGCAGAGTGCACTGGGCATATCAGAAGACAGCGCAGAGAACAAGGGCGCCCAGGTAGTCAAACGTCTACCCAAGAAAGTGGGACACGAGCTTTCTGATTAAAGGAGACTCATCACCAGAAGGGACGGGAAGCATCCCTAGAGGATGGACCCATGATCCTGGCGGTCCCATCACTAGGCAAGACTTAACATCAGAGCCAGGGGGCCATCTCTTCTGGAGCCTCCACCTTACTAAAGTTGTCCCCAGGCTTACTAAATTTGGGAGTTAACAACTTTCTCATTCAAGGTGAGGCGTTGCAGGACCCAGGCAGACGGACAGGGTAAAACAGCTCTGGCAATGGCTGAAGTGAAATTAATGGGGAGGGGGGGACAATGACAGCTCTTATGTGACATAAAATGAGAGAGGGATGCCTCTAATCCAACCCCCTAACCTGGAGCACCAGCAGTCAGCACACAACCTGGCCTGCCATAAAGCTAACAAGTTCTTTACCAGGGTTGATGTATGCGTGAAAAGACAGAATCGGTCCCCAGAATGCCAGCCTTTGCGGTGGGGTCGTTGTGTTTTGAATAGCCATTCACAGGCTTCCTATCTGCCAAAACTACACGGAGGACGATAGGAGCACAGGGACGGTGGACTTGGAAAGTGAAAGGGCCTCAGGAGGAAACCGGGGTCTAGGTTGTGTTTTCCCTGAACTTCTGGACCTCTCAAAGAGGCCAGGCCCCTGCCACCACTTCAGAATGTCCCAAAGAGGAAGAAGGATGCTGCTGGAAGTGCCTCCTCACTTCCTCCTCACTTCCTCGTCCTTTCCCAAAAGCCTCCCGATTTCTGGAAAACGATCTTTGTTTACGTCTCACACAGCAAATGCAAACTAAGCCAAAGAGTGTGCCTGGCCCCAGGGAGACAGAAGTGGCTCAGAAGGGTCCTCATCACCGCCGGGGTTATCTGCTGAGCATACGAGGTGAAACCAGATTAACATTTAGGGTGAATCTCCCTTGCCCAGTTAAACCATTCTGGAGCTGCCCTGATAGGTACCCAGAGGACTGTTTCCATGGTGATTCCAAGTCTTACTAAGTTAATGAGAAAGGTGAACATAACAGATAACAGACATCCAGCAAGGTACCAAGGGCCCAAGAGGCAGCTGTCCTCTCCAGACATCCTTCAGGGCTCTGGCTACAGGCTCTTGGGAATAACAATCAACAGAGGCGGTGTGCCAATTTGCACCAACCCCTGTGACATTCTTCAGCCCCCAGGCTCCGAAGGGCAGGCCACCCCTCAGAGGAATGTGGCTGTCCCATTGAGTTCAGGGGCCCTGCTCATCATATTTCCCTTCGCCTCCTCCATCCCCCACGCTTTCACTTTGGTTTCTTCCTTGTCTTCAGTGGATAGAGGGGGAAAATAAGAAGGCAGTTCATTCTGGAAACTGTAGGCCCTTGTGTGGGCTTTCCATCTTGGCTCTGTTAAAGTTCAGGGTTGTCTGCTTGGGGTGACAAATCATCAATCAGATTCTTGTTTGGGACTTCCAAGGCCCACGCAGAGAGAGACTGTGTAACTGCCCGATTCATTGGCC